TGTGCAAAAAAGGGGACAAGGACCCGGGGGCAGGGAACTGGGGGCGGGGAAAGCTGCACCAGGGAATCACAAATGACCCGGACTTAGTCTGAAATCTCCAAAAACCGAAAAAAACAATTTCATGGCGGTGCCCTCTTGTGTTTCAAAAAGCCTGAAGCACCACTTTGCGTCGTCGAGAGCATGTTTTTGCTGCTGGCGCAGGTGGAACCATGGGCCGGTGGTGGCAGAATGCTAGATGAAAGAGTGGGGCTCTGAATGGGCGTGAAAACTGTCAACCAATTCTGTTCCCCCGGGTGTGTCTGCAAAAGGTTTGTTTTCTTTGCTTCAATGCTCGCTGGAGTTGGCTCGGCCTCTATTTTTTCCTTTGTCGATGGCTTCTGGTTACAGCTTGGCTGTTTGCCAGCAAGCCACAGTAATGAAAATATACATGCACCTAAATAGATTGCCTAAAAAAATGGTTAAATCGTTAATTCGTTAAGTTTGATCTTTTAAAATATATCTTTTTCTATATTAAAAAGAAACAACTTAATTAATTAATGATTTAATGATCGTACACCCGGGAGTATGAAATGCTCTAAGAGCAGAAGTCTCGTGTCTAGAAATTGCAATCTCATTCTGGCACACTATCTCAGTCAATGTCAGGAATATGCAGCTTAGCTGGCAACCAAAACAAAGACCTGAAAGGTTTAGAAACCTGGCTGGAGGTCTCTCAGTACGTTCTCACTTGGCTTGGGTCACATAGCCTCGTGATTTCATTGCGCATCGATTTGCGGCGGTGTCATCAAGGTTGATGACGCACACTTTCCGGTTATCTGCGCGAGCCTGTTGACATAGACGGTCAAAAAAATGCCAGAAAATGAGAAGCTGCTATTGGCTTCCAGCCGGCATGTACGGCTCCTCTTTTGAAGCCAAAAAGTAAATTCAAAAAGTGTATCAGAAACAGGTTCACCTTTAGGCTTTTTGTCGCACGCAAAACTGACCTCCAACGTTTGAGGCAAACACCTGTGGATCTCAGACAACGGTGATCTCCAACCATGAGAAAGAGGAAAAATATATGTGCAGCCATTGGAAGAACAATCTGTTGGAAATCTGTTCGGATCAACTGTGTTTTTCCAGATAAATGCTTGTAAATCGGCGTGGTGCTTTCGATATCCACATTTTGGAGGTCTAACATTTCCAAACAGTTCCCACCTTTTGCTGAATCTCTTTGATGTCCATGCATTCCCGCTCCATCATCATCTTTGTTTGAACAAAACTGCTGTTTTTTTGTATTTCAAGTCAAAATAGATTGCCAAAAAAGGGACCATTAAATCATCAATTAATTAAGTTGTGTCTTTTTTTAATAAATATATTTTGAAAGATCAAACTTAACGAATTGACGATTTAACGGGTCCTTTTTTGGCAATTTGAAGCGACGGTGTACGCAGACTAACACACTGGGGACTGTCTCCAGGTCCCTATGTCGGTTTGAAACAGGACACAAGGATATCGACTGTGGGGTCCTCGATGTCAATGTGTACTTTACGCATGAGCAACGGCTTGTCAGGCTACCTCCTCCACTTCTTTCCCTTACCCAGATTGAGGAAAGAAGCAGGCGACCAGTCGATGGTTGGGCGGAAGGCTTTAACTTCCCCCCTGCCTTTCTCAAGCTTGTCGTTCACTTTGAGAACTTCACAATCATTCCATTCCAGTAACACTGTATCGCCGTCAATGAGAGGGGCGTCAGTGCATACGCCCACACCGGCTCATTCATCGTGTCCCACAAGAGTGTCCTACAAGAGTGTCCCAGAAGAGTGTCCTACAAGAGTGTCCTATAGGAGCGTCCGACAAGAGAGTGTCCCAGAAGAGTCTCCTACAAGAGTGTTCCACAAGAGTGTCCCACAAGAGTGTCCCATAAGAGTGACCCACAAGAGTGTCCCACAAGAACGTCCCACAAGAGTGTCCTACAAGAGTGTCATTTGGACATATGTAGCTTTTCGAACGTGTTTGCATTCGGGTTCGTGGGCTCCATCTTGTTTTTTTTGTTTTTCTTCTGGAGGTTCGAGAGGTTGGCTGAGTTGGAAGCAAGAAGTAAAAGCCAGCAAACAATATGACATAAAGCTAGCTTGCCCAAACCATTTTCATATCCTACAAATGTTTTTTGCTGGCAAAACTTGTTGGTGCGCTGAACAGTTTTTGAGTCTGATTCTTTCGTGACATGTCTTCAGTTGTATTGAAACGGTTGGTGTTGAGGTACACCCAAAGTTCGCTGTCAAACCAGGCATCAATACATTCAGATTGCCCAAACGGTTCAAAAGTAAAGTTGCACTTGTGTTCTTTCTGTGGTGTTTGCTGCGTTTAAGACGGGTTTTATGTCACAGCCATGGTTGAGTGTGCAACAGATCCCGGCCATATAGAGGGGAGTGATGCGGAGATTGCATCGGTCGTGGTGCAATGGCAAGGGAGTGATGGGACGTCCACGTTTTCCACAATTGAGCTGGATGAAGAAAGTAAATGCTCAACCTTAGCTTGCTTCAAGGTGCTTTGTGCCAAAGCACTTGGAGTTGAGCTAGTTCAGCTGCCAGATTTCAACGAGGATATGGACGAGACTCCAATCGCGGAGCTGGGAATCGGCTTCACGGATGTTCCGATTTTGCTGGATTTGGGGACCTCCGAGGTGACAGAACACCGTTTACATGCCGAAATCGTGGATACAGACGGACTGGAGAAAGCCAAAGCAAAGGTCAGCCCAAAAGCGGATTCCAAGCCTTCTTTTTCTGCTCGCAAGGCTTTAGAAGATGCATCAGAGATCAAAGATGGCTGGCTCTTTCTCAGTGGACAGTTGGCCGCAACAAATCTGGAGTGCCTACAACGTCTGGGCATCACGCATGTGCTCAACTGTTGCGAACGGATTCCATGCAAATTCAAATCGAGGTTGACCTACCGGACGATCGCCGTTCTGGACACGAAAGCCTCGGACATCAGAGCTCACATTCCTGAAGCTTTGGCCTTCATTGATGAGGCTCAAACCACGAACGGCAAAGTTCTCGTTCATTGTATGGTGGGCGCCTCACGGAGTGTGTCCCTGGTCCTGGCATGGCTGGTGGCACGTTGTAGCATGTCTTTGAAAGAGGCATTTTTGCTGGTGCGGAAGGCCAGACACCAAGCTCGGCCAAATCGCAGCTTCTGCGAACAACTCATGTTGTTTGAGACTGAGACTCGAGGAAGCTCCAGCACCACGTTAGCGGATTTCTTTCACACATGAAACTTCAAAGCTAAGAAGCCAAAGTTCAGCTGCGAGTCAAAGGGTTGACCTTTTGTTTTGCTTTACAGTTGTCATTGATGCCAAAAAGTTCTGCCTGTTGAACAGAATTTTTGTTTGAACAGAATCGCTATGGCATTTTCGTTCCAGAGAGCTTCCACTCAGAGCTTTCTACTGATTGACATTGGACATTTGGTGAGACCATTGAAATTGAGACTTAACAAGCAGTTTTACTCAGTTGGAGCTCTTTAAGATCAAACAGTTCAAGGGTTTTGGCACCCCGATATGTTGAAGGTCCGATTTGGCATCATCTGGATGTGCAACATTGGTGTTTGCAGCGCAACGCCGAGGGAAGCTATTCTATCCTGAGCAGATGGTGTTTCTTCGAAAGTCAGTCATAGATAGGTCATGGAGTGGTACGTTATCGACGGTTCACCATAGTTCTCCACATTTTTGTTTGACTCACTAGAACATCCTTGAGTGGCGAAACATCTTTATTTTTACTTTCATCTCCCTTTGGACGCCGCAACAAGCCATGGAGCGCCAAAGCTGGCTCAGCCAGCTTCTTTACACCGGGGCAGCGGTGGGAGGTGCTGCTTGTGCAGCTGTAGCAGCAAGGATGGTGATGTGACTTGTGCGATCATGGGTGTATAATCTTTTTGGAACATGAAGTGAGCTGGCACGAAAGACAACCCATGCTCTTGTTTTCCAAGACACAGCAATGCTTCGGCTGATGGCTCAACTGGTTTCAACCAGGAACCTGCAGCGAGTGCTGCGTGCACGATCGCGGATCAAGGCGTGCTGATGAAACAACTGAGGGTTCGACGCTGGCGAAAGGGTTCGACCAGCAACAGCCCACTTTCGTTGCAGCCATTTCTGACGCTGGAAAAGCCTGTCTTGTGGTTCGGTGGTCTATACCTTGGCCTGTGACCCATCGCGTTTCGCGGTGTTCAGACCTCTTTGCCGCCCACCCTGCACACGACGTCAGGGTGTTCAGACGCGTCTCTAGAGGTCGTAGGTGAGAAGAGCTCCGAAGCCGAAGAGCTCCCAGGGAGCTCCGAAGCGGAAAAGATCTCCAAACCTTTTGTTCAGAAGGCCACGAGAGACTCACTATCATGAGTCAAAGTCAGAGACTTCTGAAGTCAGAGACTGATATACAACATGTTGACCAAGCAATCTTGTCCTCGAAGCGAGTTCCCTGGCCACCGTCTTTCAGCGTCAAAAAAACCGAACACCGTGCACCGATGGATCTCCTTTCGAGAGCTTGAAGTCTTCTGGCAGAGACGTGTTGCAAGTCGTTGGGCCTGCGGAAGTTCAGCAACCCGTACCGCACAACAACGGTTTTCTTCCATGACTTCTATGTATAAGTCAGTCAGACAAAGTTTTGCAGCATGAAGCACTTTACACACTTCCTATTAGATACTTCCTACTTTAATAGAGAAACATTTTCGGTGACCCCAAATGCATGAAACCGCAAACAGTATTACTGTATTATAGCTTTCCCTAGTGCAGCCAACCGTGACATGGTCCAATACCAAGACAACATGTTTTTTCTACTATGCAAGCCATGTACTTTTTGATGAAAGCACGTGTTCGATGTGTTTCCAGCAATGTGAATCAGTGGAGTCATGCTTGACGTCTCTGCTGTTCAAGATGCCTTTGGTTCTATTGGGTGGAAAAGGACATACTTCTGACTTAGGGAAATGAGGACAAGCACCGGGATGAGTAGAGGTTGTTGATCCTGGTGTACCTTTGGCACATGCAGGTGCTTCTAGCAGCTTCAGCTGGCACGGATGCGCGAGTGGTGATTACCGGGGCCACTGGGGGCATTGGACAAGAACTGGCGGAGCAGCTGCTGCGCAACTCAGCTTTTTCTCAGTGTAGAGGTCCTTGGAAAAAATCACGGTTCAGAGGCCCTCAGTGTGGCACCTCCTCCCAGTGGACTGGACCATGAACTTGCAAATTGAGACGTCCCTGGTGCATTCAGGTAATCCTTCGGTGCACCTGCTCTTGGGCTGCCGAGATCATTTGAAAGCCCAACGGCTCTTTCAATCCTCTGAGCGGACGAAGGCGATGTGTGTCCCTTTTTGAGGTGCTCCAAATGGGATCAGGCCCATCCAACGTGGAGCGATCCATACCTCCTGGATGGGGCTGGGGACCTGGACATGCGAAGCTGAAAACGGTCAAAGCAGAAACAAAGAGCCTTCCACACACAAGAAGATGCAAAGGACAGAATCCCATCTGATCTCATACCTCTCTGGACAGCTGGCGCCACCCGTGGCGCCGGCGCCAGGTCCATCGCTTGGACCTCTTGGATCCCGATTCCGTGCAAGCCTTTGCCGACGAGGCGATAGCTGTCGGTCGGGTCGACAGTCGTCGACTGGCAGGTTCGGTCGATTGCAGATCACACGAATCGCGCAGGTTTGGATGCGAAATACACACTTCGCTAGCAGCTGGCCAGGTTTGACAAATAGGCAAAAAGCACACAGGTTTGAGTTTGTTTTTCTTAGCGCCGGCACCAAATAGCAAAGAAAAGCATTTCTGGTCAGGAGGTCGCATGAATCCACCGCGGGCCCCATCACGAGGTCTTTGAATTCTTTTCTTTCAACAGTGTATATAGCACAGCTTGTATATAGCACAGTGTATATATATATAGCACAGATTGTATATAGCACAGCTTGTATAGATGGCCCGCCGTATTGGACACACACACACATTGAATTGATGTTTGCAACAGATATGCAATGTAAAAAAATCGTAATTCGTTATTGCTAATGGCCACTGTTGCTGGCAAAAGCTGTCGTTGCTTCCGAAGTCCCATTTGCCAAGCCATGCAGCGTTCCACTCCACAAATCTCCGAAGACGCCCTCGCACGGAGCTGGCTGAGGCGCACCTGTTCCTTGCGGGTGGTGAAAGTGGACTGAGGATGTCGGACTCTGAGGGGACGCGAACACCCGCCGTCGCGCGGCGTCGCGGCGTTCGTGACATCTGAGGCTGGTGAACAATGCCGGTGTCATGCGACCACCAGTGAGTCAAAGTAAAGGCAGGACCTGGTGATGCGGGACGTGCAAAGTGAGGAAGAACCGAACAAAATGCTAGTTTGACTTTGGAAAACGAAAGGTTCTATGAGCCAATCGCATCCGAAGTTTGGGGCTCAGGGAGGCTTTTGCCACTAGAAATGGCATTTGCATAGAGGATGTGGAAGTACATCCTGGGGCCCTTACTCCCGGCGGTCATAGGATGGCCATGGCAGCTGGGGCACAATGAGGAGCACAGCTTTGAGGAGAACCTCACTGGTGTGGATCCCGGCGGTGACACAGAGCCGCCCAGCAACAACACCCACCAGAAGGGTGATTTCTGGTGGTTTGAGGGGACGATCTGGGGCTTTTGGTGGAGTGCCGATGGCTTTGGAGAAGATGCCCCATGGTTCGGGACGCCGGAATCGCCCGGACGCCTGCGGAGCGACGGTGGTTGGGCTGGTTACTTCGTGGACGGCATTGGAGTGCAAGCTTTCGGTAGCTGGTGGCCCTGGGTGGCCTACTTTGTCATGATCACCTTCCTGACCGGGATTCTCGGGATCTTGACGTACAGCCTGCACACCTTGACGGGACCCTGCAGGGCTTTAGGAAGAGGGGTGCACGCCCTTTGCGGCCTATGCTGTTGCAGGAGGCGCGATGATCTTGAAGCCCACTTACCCAGTGCAAGGCCGTTGATGAGTGAGATCGAATGGCATGGACCCAAGACAGGTTGGCCGACGGAGACCAGGTATTTGCAGCAGCGCTTGAAAGGGCGTGGCAGCCGGCGACGCTTGAATGACGTGGTGGTTCGTCGCGGTGGACACGTAGCTCGGCTGCTTCAGGAAGAGAGCATGCTGAAACGGATTGACAGCGATGGACTACGTGTGAAATTCAATGGAGTCTCTGGTTGCACCTCTCGGCAGTTCAGACGAGAACTTGAAGAAGCAGGCGAAGTTCACCTTTGTCGACAACTTGAATGCCGAGCTGATCATAGCATGCACATCCAGGAGTTCGCCGGAGTTGATCATGAGGCTCTATTAGATCTACATCGTTACGCACATGGGTCACCACGTTGGCTTCTTGGTCTACTTGGACGAGGGCTTTGGCGCGCAGTTGGGCTGGTGGCGAGACTCACTCGCTGCTGCTGCCGCATCTGTTGTGTGAAAAAGGGGACCCGTGTCATTCGTGATGAAGAAGGACGTGAACGGATGCTTGACCCTGATTCGGAGTCTGAGGTGGAGGGCGACGAGTCATCGTGCCAAGGAGTGCGGATTGGATTGGTGATCGAAGGTGAAATGAGGCCCTTGGCACCTGATGGTTGCAATGACATGGCCACGCAGGAGGAGACCACGCTGCTGGACGAGGACATCGAGGTCTCGGATGTGCGGCCGCCTGGACCAGGTCAACTTGCTCGCATACCCCTCTGCGCTCATCATCGCCAAGTATATCAGGGGGCAGCAGCTAAACGGAAGTGTGGAGTGCTGACATGTCACAAAGCGTCCAAGGGAGCACGGCGTGGAGTCCCGCTCTGCTACGACCATCTTTGTGAACAAGGAGGGTCGGGACTGAGGAAAGACAGCCCCCATCCTAACGGGATGCTCCAAGGGCTTAGGCGGAGGTTCGTGAAGAGATCAACGAGTCGGAGTCGGAGCCCAGCACCGGAGCAGCAGCCGGACGGAGGTGGCCTTGAGAAGCGCCAGGACCCCGGAGGAGTTTGGAACAAGAAGGAGAGTGGCATGGCACCTATGAGGTCGAGCTCTGTCGACCTGGGCAAAGTGATGATTCCATCGCCACCCAGGGGCATGCTCGATGAAGAGGATGTCATGGGGAAGCCCGTGTGGATGAAGATTAAGCTTAACTACTTGGAGGGCCAGCGAGAATGTGAATGGATCATGTGCATGGGCGAACTCGTGGGCTACACACCTGGAGGAGTTCGAGGTGATCGGAAGCTCGAGATTCACGTCAAGTACCTTGAGACCACCATCGTTGTCGACCCCAAGTACCTGGAGGACATGACTGAGGCCAAGAATGTGGAGGAGCCCGACCCTCTCAAAGCTCAGCTTCTGATCAATGACATCCCGCAGGACGCTGCAGGCATCGGCTTGGACGTAAAGGGCTACATTGTCCCGGAGCATCTGATCCAGCGCTTGAAATCGTGGGAGGGGCGGACCATTGGCAGCGGTAGACGCCTAAACCAGTTGCAGATTGACTATGTCAAGAAGAACATCTCCACCCTGGTGCGGAAACACAGTGCGGGCTTTGTGAACGGAGAAATCTGGCCTAGTTGGCCAGCTGAAGCTGAGCTCGGGCTTGATGTGCAGGTTCGTGGACGTGCTGAAGCTCAACCTTTCGGAGCCCGGGAGGAGCCGAGGAAGAGATCACGGAGCCGGAGCCATAGCTTAGCCAGGGTCATGAGAGAAGAGGACGAAGTGAAGCAGAAAATGGAGGTGGATGCGGCCGGAGACGCTGAGGGCGACGAGATGACCGGTGAGGGCGTTGTCGAGGCCTATGCGACGGCCTTAGCGTCAGGCCAAACCCATCAGGAGGCGCTCGACACGATCCAGATGATCTTCGAAGTGGACTTCAGCGCCGTCCAGAGCATCCTGAGGAACTACATCCGCAGGAACTGTGGGAAGCAAAATGAGCAAGTTGAGGTGGCGATCAGGATCCTCAAGGGCGCGGGAGCATCAAGCTACAACGTGGCCAAGGAGGAGACCAAGCCGCCTACTGCACAACCGGATCAACCAGCACCAAGTGAGAAGAGGTTGCAGACGACCTCAGACAAGCTGTTTCCATCACACTTCGGATCAGTGAAGGATGAAAGCAGCCTCATTCGCCCAGCGGGCAGCTCTAGCACCCAGAACCCCTTGACAGTGAGTGATGGGGTGGTGGGACAACTCTTTGGGCTTGGGAGCAAGTTGGACGACACCTCGACACGTGCCGGAGCCGGGGGTGACGAAGAAGATGGACAGATGGGAGCCCGCGTCGTGCATGCTTTGGAGGGCCTCCGAAAAGCCACTGAAGGAGACAAGAAGGGCAACCCGGGGACGAGAAGCGCCATTGGGTCAGAGGAGGGCCTGGACGTCTACTTAGCTCGGGGATGCAACACCCTGACCGTGGAGGTCTGCCCTGACGTCACCGGGAAGGAGCTGTTCGATGCCCTGAAGAGAGCTTGCTCGCACGCCAAGGCCAAGCTGCAGCAGATTGAGTGGCCCTGCCTGGTGACGAATGGCATTGCCTATGGACTCGCGGCCATGCAGCATGGTGGGAAAGATCACACCACGCTGGCGCCGTGGCAGCTGAGCGTGGCGCATGCAGTGACGGCCAAGCCAAGAGACTTCGATCAGTATGAGGCGCCCAAGGACGACAAGATCGAGCCGAAGCCAAGGTATCCAACCCACTTCGCTACCTGGTTGAAGCAGGCGAAGAACGAGATCAAGATGATCGGGTCAGTGTTGGGTCTGGAGCATAAGAAAGAACGGCTTAAAGCCTTGGATCAGATCGAGAGAGCTCATGAGCAGGACTCGGACGTTTGGCCGGAGAACTACTGCTACAGTTTGTGGGAGGAACTCAAAGCCGCTTGGGTTGAAGAGTTGAGGGAGAGCCGCAGACAGCTTTGCAGGATCTTGAACACCGACAACCCGCGCAAGGAGGACCTCAAGTTCGTAGCGCTCGCACCGGACAGTGGTTTCCACTTCCCCAGGACCTTCGACTTCGCTCATCCCGAGGGCTACTACCAGCAGGTGTGTGTCCCAAGGCAAGCAAGGGCATTGAAGGGGATCATTTATGGGCAGTTGCGCCACAAGCGTCAACATGGCGGAGAAGGTGAACACCCTGGTGGCGAGGCCGGTGGCGATGATGATCGCGTGGGACGAGGCCGAGACCGTGGCGGTGACAAAGACAAGAAGAAGAAGGAGAAGGAGCGAGACGAGAAGAAGGCCTACCCAGCCGGTAAGCGGCTGCGGCCAAAGGAGGCTGCGGAGTCGGTCAAGCATGGACCACGGACGAAAGAAGGAAAGCCTATCTGTTGGGATGGTGCCACACACATGGGCTGCAGCAGGGGCAAAGATTGCAATCACGCTCACCAACCAATCACCACTACGAAGGGCCTGCATTGGACGGTTCTAGCACAGTTGATTCGCCGTGGTGGACTGAAGAGTGGTCCGATGATCCAACCCGGTCAAGTTGATGGCAGGATCGCACAGTTGAGGGCGCAGGCAAAGGCGGAGCAGGATGAGAAAGTGAAGGATGGCGGCGCTCAGAAGCAAGGGTGGCTTCCTCCGGAAGAATATGAAGGAGTTCAATACACCCAGCTGGAAGATGAGCTCCGGGAATTGACCCGGGGGCCGGACGTGAACTGGCTCAGAGACCCGATGCTTGACGGAGGGCAAAAACGACACAGCACCTGGGAGAAGCGGGTGGAACATCCTGAAGCCCAGCGCCGCCTCAGAGTCCTCGAAAGTATGGAGAAGGCTGGCGTGTTCGCCAGGTTGAGCAGTTGGTCCAGCTATCTTCAGTCCCATGTGCGGGGCAGGATGCTCAACGCCGTCATTGAGAAGCAGGAGATGACGATCGATGACGTACTCCTTGAGGCTACGGAGAAGGGGTGCCCTGAGTTGGCGCAGGAGGCGGAGAAGGTCCTCAGCGAGGAGCGATCAGTCGGATGGGCCGATGACGAGAAGCAAGCTTGGATCAGTGCACCAATCTGGCAGAAAGACAAGGGCTATGGAGAAGGGAAGTTCGAGTTCCAGTGCGGAGCAGAAAGGATTTGTTGGCGCTACCTGGACTATAAGGACAAGTTGCCAGCCTCAGACGAGCTTGCGAGTGCTTTGGGACTTCAGCCTGGAGAAGATGAAGAACGCCAATGCCTTGTCCTTCACCCTGCAGCGGGCGTCTTGCTTTGGGAAGGCGATTGGGACCCAGAGCGCAGACCAGGCATCGAGGAGGTGAGGCATAAGGCACAGGAGTTCAGAGCAGCGCTTTGGGACGAAGCAGCACGAGCAATTGCGGAACTGGGGGACCCAGCCCCTTGGATCAGTGCTCGCGAAGCGGAGATCCGTGGCTACGCACATGACTGCCTTCGAGCCAACCACGACAAGGACTACAGACTGTTTCAGGCCTTCGTGATTGAGGAGCTGCGTGATGTGACGCTGCAATGCTGGAGATTGAACTGCCGTGGACAATTTCAAGTGGATCACCTCGTTGGCAGCAACCCTGGCAGTGAAGGACAGATCATCCCCTTTCTGATCCATGGCGGGCACATCAGGCTCTTGGTGCCCAATGAGAAGGAGGAACCGGTCAAAGTGGCAGCACAGTTGACGCTTAGTGGCCAGACAGATCGAGAATGGCAATGTGAAGGTTGGAGAGAGTTCCTGGCTAATGAGGATACAGCAGCCCCATTGGTGCCAGGGAAGCGACCGAAGTGCCCGAGATGTATGGATGGCAACCTGAAGCAAGGTAAAGCACAACCACAGGTCCCTTGGAGCTTCAATGAGCATCCCATCGACACGCAAGAGCTGATCCTGATGGGGGCCCAGATGCCTTTGAAGCACAGGCCATCATTTGCATATGGAGTCCGGGTGCAGGAGATGTTCGCTGGATCAGGAACTTGGACGAAAGCAATGGGCGAAGCGGGGCCGTGGCAAGTCGCTACCTCCAAGCCGCGATGGAGCTTCCAGGCCCGAACGCAGCGAATATCTGGGAATTTGGAACGCCCTGCACAAGCTACTGTGACTTCAACATCCTGAATGGGGGAACACGTAGCTTTGCCTCGCCTGAAGGAGGACCAGTTCCAACGCAGAGCGAAGAGGAGGGCAACTATTTCTGTGAGCTGACTGGTCGACTCTGCCAATCGCTCTACGATCACGACAAGGAATTCGTGCTCGAGTCGTCGATGCCCTCTGGAAGGTATCCCAAAATTTGGGATCAGCCAGCGATCCAACGCCTGCAACAATCCACTGGAGCGCTCATCGTGCCCACCCACTTGTGCGAATGGGGCGCATCACCGAGCGACAAGCCCGAGATGAGATACAAGAAGGGTCAGTGGAACTTAGTTTCCCCTGGACTATACCTCCATGCATTGTTGCTAGCTCGTCGTTGCCAAGGGAAGCATCGCCACATGGACGTCAAGGGTGAGTCGGACATCCCAGGAGTGCCCCGGACAAGGCGAGCGCAGGTGTATCCGGCACGCCTTTGCAAGGGCTGGGCGCTCGTAGTGCAAGCGGCCTATGCCGGCTGGGACACTATGCAGGTGGCGCAAGCTTTGGAGGTCATTCAGGAGGACGATGGCCGAGAAGGGACACTTCCATACAAGGCGAAGGGGGGGAGGCTAGCCGCTCCCTACCATTCTTCTTCATCCACCCCATCACCAGGTGAACGATGCGGCAGTGCTGAAGGCTCAGAGTTCCAAGGGGGCTTCTTCATCCTTCGCGAGCACTACTGTGGCAGCATTGGGGAGAGCGAGTTGTGAGATGAAGCACCGGAACCCGTTCGCCCTTACGAGGGCAGGATCAACGTGTTTGGCCCTCCGAGACCACTTGAGGGTTTGAATGGCCGCTCCGAGGATTGGTGGGACTACCAGGAGGACACCCTCTTCCTTGTGCGCCACCACGTGATGCCCCGGAGGAACATGTTCGGCTCGCATTACGGAGACTGGATAGACTGTCCGGTCTCAGACCACCTGATCCGGAGTGATCGCAGGACCTGGATGTTTCCTCAGAGGCGTGACTTGGCCGAGACTACCCCACACGAAAGAGTTTTCTTGGACAACTGGCGGGTGGACTTGGCACGGCTCCGTGACATCCCTGACTCGATTGAGGCGGAGTATGCTGATTGGACAGGAGCCACCACGTTCTACCTCTACGACCCGGAGATTAGGCCGGAGCTTGGGAGGCACGCTGAACATGGGCGAGAAGAAGGTGAAGGTGAGGGCGCTCAGCATGAAGCAAACGATGGCCTACAGCCCGGGCTCCCTGAAGGGCGTGACTATGTTCCAGTCTTCCGGGCACCGCAGGAGTTCGAGCCACCCTCCCAGGCTCAAGTGGAGGCAGCAAGACGGTACTACCCTGGAGGTGGGGTGTGGGACCCTTGGAATGGAGGCCGCATTGAGGGTGAGGAGCAGGACAACGATGAGGTGGCAGACCGACCCAGGAGTTCGAACGAGCGAGCCAGGCGTTCCAGATCAAGGTCAAGGGAGCGTACTACAGCTCGGGGAGGCGACGGATCTGACCGGAGAGTGGGCTACTTGGCGGCATCCTATGTGCTCGAGCAGGAGGAGGAGCAGGCAGGTGGATGGCTTGACCTTTGCACGGAGTTCGAGGAGTCGCATCAGGTTGGCTATGAGGATACCCAGGCCAAGAATGAGGGCGTGAGCAAAGAGGTCCTCGACAGAGCCTTGAAGTACATGGAGCATTGCAGGGAGCACCCCAAGTACGACGCCAAGGTGATCAAGACCGCTGTCAGGCTGGGTGACGACCTGCTGAGGACGGCCAAGACACTCGAGAATGCGATGAGGGGCCTTCGTGAGGCAAGACGCAAGGTGATTGGGATTCCTACCAGTGGCGCAACGTCGAGAGAGGTCCTGGACTGCTTGGAGGCCGACCATGCCGACTACCTCAAGGCCATGAATGAAGAGGGTGTGCGGACACGCAGGTATTACCCACCAAGGAGGTTGAGAGCAGAACCTTACCCATCAGCCGTCGACCACCTCGAGGAGATGTACCAGAAGGCTTGGAAAGATGGTCAGTGGGGCATTGTACTCTTCGCCTCGGACATGACGGAGGAGTGCACCAAGACTCTCATCGAGTGCCCGCAGGGGCGCGTACCCAAACAGCTGCCAGATAGGAGCATCAGTGCCGAGGGGCGACCCATCCATGCAATGATGACCGCAAATGCAGCCACCCACAAATACCAGCACCCGCCGGCCGTGCAACCGCGCCATCGGCAGATCGCCCGGAAAGCGGTTTGGTGGAGAGCTCGCCACCCAGGCATCAGATGCCTCATAGCCAAGCTGGATGTTAGCAGGGCCTTCAAGTGGCATGATGTGGCGCCAGAGGACACTTCGGACTTTGGCAGCGCCCTTCCAGGTGATCCAGTGGGTGTGGAAGGAAGAGTGAAGATGATCTATGGAGGCCTTCCTTTCGGCTGGTGCGGTGCACCCGGTGAGTACATGGCGTTCGCTCTGGCAGGAAGGGCTTACCATGAAAGCTTCAAGCCCGCCGAGGAGACCATCAATGGCCCGAGCCCGTTCTCATCAGAGTGGCTGATGGACGACAGCGTTGTTGTGGAACCCCTGGTGGGCGTCCGCCCTTGGCAAGCTGTGGATTCACTTGGACATGCCATCGAGAAGATCTGGGGTCAGGACGCCTTGAACCTCGAGAAGCAGATCGAGGAGGGCACACCCGCGACGGAACAGATCGTCTGGGGCTTGTTCATGAACGTCGACAACATGACCATTAGGCTACCTGAGCCGAAAGCATTGAAGATGCGCTACCTACTTGCGCTCCCTGAGCTTCAATATGGAGGACGCTTGGTGCGCTTGAGGGTGGCCCAGGAGCTTCGGGGGCTGGGTCAATATGCGGCTATCACTATACCACCCCTGCGCACTGAACTCAGTACGATCGACCTCTTCCTGTGCCCCAATCGCTGCGAGGGTGGCTACATCCGGCCGAATGTCAACGATGAGGAAGGTTCAGAGCGAGCCTGGCGTTGCTGGGACGAGATGCTGGCCTTGCTGAGGCTTTGGTTTGAAACTCCCTACGCAGGGTCGTTTGAGGCCTCAATGGAAAGCATGTTGACAACACGTGAGCTCCTGGCGCTACCCGGGATGAGTGAGAGGCTGCGCTGGGTTGGAGGAGACGCCACGCCGGAGGTGGCGGGCGCACTCGATTGGAAGACCAAGCGCTACATGCGGGAGGACGCAAAGGAGATGCTGCAGGCCATGGGCAAGGTTCCAGAGCTTGTTGACGACCCGGAGATGAAGATTGCCCTGGCGGAGCTCCTATGCTTTGTTGGCCTAGCAGCAGCCGAGAGTGGTGAATGGCACGGTGAATTGATTGCCTATGCGACTGACAATCAGAACGTGCGCTCCTGGCTGACGAAGCGTCAGTCAAAATGTGCAGTGGCTCGCCACATGCTTCGGATCTTGGGCATGCTGGAGGTTCGCTTCCACTTCAAGACGGTGGCCTTCTATATCCGGACGTATCACAACATCACCGCGGACTGGTTGAGCCGGGAGACCAAGAAGGTCGTGGAAACCCAGATGGAGCTCGATGGATGGTCTAAGGTGGAAGCTGGTGAGAGCTGGGCGCACTACATCGACGAGTCCGTGGCGGGGATCTTCCGGTGGCCTGGAGGGGAGAACTTGGGCAGCGTGTCTCAGGTTGCAAATGATGAGACCAAGCCCTATCGCCCCGTAGTCGCCTCAGGGTATGCCGTGGAGCTCGGACGAGGCATGCTGCCTTGGATTGTTGCCTGGCATCGTCTAGGGGGCCAAGTTTGCAGGACGGATGCCAAATGCACACCGCTGGATGAGAAGCTCGAGAAGGCCCACTTCCATGACATTGACCCGGTGACTGAGGAGACCGAGCTGTCGTGGGCCTTTGCATCAGTTGCGGAGGACAGTTGGGGGGGGAGCCGCACCTATGTTAGGAACTTCGTGAAGAAGCACCAGCCAAGATGCGTGTTGATCGATGTGGCTAAAGATGGGCCGCTTGATGACCTCCAGACAGACCTGGAGAAGCTGGGTTACAGGGTAAATACCTTCGACTGCTTGACGACGCACTACGGGGATCCAACCGCGAAGAGGAAGGTCATTGTTCTTGGAGCACTTCGCGATGGACGTCGTGCCAATGATGGAGCTTGCATGCCACCAAGGAGCGCGGCTGAGCCGACAAGCATCCAACGCACGTTGGACCCAGCTGCAGGATCGGTTAAGCCACAATGGCTTGACCGGGACACCGAGCTGACCCTGAACAGCAAGATCTCAACATCAGGAGACCGCATGCTACCATGGCCTGCCGGCCACTTCCGGGAGAACCACATGGATGACCAGAAGGAACTCCTCTACGATATTCGAGGGCCAGCACTGACATGCCGGAAGGGGAGATCGATGGTGGTCCTCGATCACCGCGGTACCGAAGTCCAAGCACGGAGGCTCGGGCCGGAAGAGGAGTGGTTACTCAATGGCGGAAGGCTCGATGACGTCCGAGCACTACATGAACTTGGGGCGAGTCAGGAATACTTCAAGAAGAATGCAGCGATGAAGTTCCCACAACAAAGCGCCCACAGGATTGTTGCTTGGTTCGAACGCTGGCGGCAGGATCACGAGTCCACCAATGCCTCATCTGAGGCGAAAGTGGGGGTGTGCACCGACCCAGACAGGCTGAAAGCTGATGAACATGTTCGGGCCTGGATGCGAGCTTGGCAAGGAGATCATCAGAACCCCCGGGCGAACTATGAGAGATGGTTGGTGTCTCATAGACAAGGGGATGAGGAGGTGGACAAGGTCGGCGGCCGCAGGCAAGCCCCGTTGAAGAGGGCGAGATCAGCGCCGCCGGACCGACTGGTGCTGCCTAGTGCAATTGGACGAGGTCGCGAACGGCTACAGTTGGACGCCAACAAAGAGCTTCGTCGAGATCAAGCATGGTTGGATGCACTGGCGGCAGAGGCAGTCATGTCCAAGCTCTCGGAGGGGACACGCGCAGGCTATGAAGTTGGTTGGAGACAATGGTGCTTGTGGCGACGCATGGGCAACAAGAGCGTCTACCTGACCGGGGAGACCAAGGATGAGCGGAAGGCCGATGAGGATGAGCTGCTGAGGTTCATGACCTACCTGGCGCATGTCATGGGGCGGACCGAAGGGACGGTGAAGCAACGGCTCTTCGCGATCAAGATGGGCCATTTGGTGGCAGGGCACGATGACCCCACTATGAACAGAGTTCGCATCTGGGCAGCATTGAATGGCTACAAGCGATGGCAGCCCGAGACCAAGCGCAAGTACCCGGTGCTGCCGGGGATGTTGACCTGGATCAAGCGGCGCCTGAGCACCAGTGAGACGCTGAGCAAATGTGACCAGGTGATCTTGTGGGCTGCCGTCATGGTGGGTTTCTTCTTCCTCCTGAGAGCGTCGGAGTTCTTGGTGACGATCGGCAGGAGCTGGGGCAGTACACGAACTTTGAAGGGCAGCGACATTGAGGCCCGCAAGGACAACAAGCAGGTGGCAAACTTCTACCAGGCGGAGGAGATCGTGATCTACCTCAAAGGGTCAAAGACGGACCAATACAACCAGGGCACCGTGCGCAATCAGTTCCGGAGTGGCAATGAACTTTGCGTGGTGGCGGCGCTCGCGGACTACCAGAACATGAAGCCTGAACGTTTTGCAGGGGCAGAAGAAAACCAGCCCCTGTTCAGGTTTGAAGATGGCAAACCGCTGCAACGTGGTGATATCCAGAACCTGATCCAGTTGGCGGCGGTGGCAGACGGGCAATCTACGACCCGATACGGCTCTCACAGTTTACGCATTGGTGGAGCTACGGCTATGTACCAAACCACCAAGGACCTGGACGTGGTCAAGAGATTTGGAAGGTGGAATTCAGATGCCTTTCATGGCTACCTATGGGAGTCGCATGAGCGGCAAAAGGACCTCGCGAAGGGGATGGCGCGTGCCGATGGTCAGCTGCTGGCACCCAGGAAGAACAAGGGCTATGAGGCTGAGCGCCACCCCCTCGAGAAACCGAAAGCCATGTACGACCAGTCGCAACAGCATGGCACCACGAGAGTGGGAACTCTGATCGACAAGGGTGAACATGGAGCCTTAGGTGACTTCAGTGACGAAGAGCATGGAGCACATGGCTACATCATCCTGAACGACGAGGAGATCCCCACTGTGGAGTGCAACGGCGGCTGTGGAGATGGAAGGGGAGTACGGCCAAAAGGGCTACGAAGCAGAGGAAGCAAGAGCTCAGACTTCAGCTCGATGGCAAAAAGTACTTCTGCTCCGTTGAGTGTTTGCGAGAAGATCTGAGAACATGCTAGTTTGACTTTGGAAAACGAAAGGTTCTATGAGCCAATCGCATCCGAAGTTTGGGGCTCAGGGAGGCTTTTGCCACTCCCTAGAACTGCCTGCAACAGATGTTCTTGCTGTCTCAGTGATGTATGATTGAACCGTATGCGCGATATGATGTTGTGTTTCGACGCAGATTTCCAAGCAGTGTTCGCTTCAAAGATCCGGCCTTTTCACATCAGTTCAGTGAGTTTGGCCTGCTAAGATTTGATTCCGCGTTTCCGCGTGGGCACTGCGGATATTTTTGTCAGCACTTCTTGATCCTTGTTTGTTTCACATGGCTGGATTGCTTAGTAGCATGTGATGCGACTGGGGGCAGGGGTTAGGCCCACCGGGGGGGTGGGAAACTCCACGAAATGACCCTTCTGGTTCGTTCGAGGTGACAGCACGTGGCAGACCAACTTCTTGGGCCCGTTCTTGCTGACCGAGTTGCTCGCTCGCTTGAGGCAGAAGCAGCAACCCTCTCCAGTCAGGCGGGGCCCGGGACAGGGGATGAGACATGGGATGAGAGGCCTGCGCCAAATATGAAAGAGCAGGTTTTCTGAATCGTGACACAATGGCAGAGTAATTGTTGTGCAGAAAGTGCAGAAAGAGTGTTTTGGGGCAAAAACGATGCAACCAGAAGAGAATGATAGAACATGGAAAAGAACAAGACAAGCATCAAAGGAACCAATCGCTCCATGGTGCATGACTTCAAAGAGAACGAGAGGATGGGCTACGAGTAACCTGTTCTTAAAGCCCCCTGCCATGTTCTGCACGTTTGTATACGTAAACAACAAGCAAGAAGCAAGAGAGTTTTTTCCGAGGCTCTGACGTTGACATCTCTGTTGTCGGCACACTTGTAGGAACCATCCCAGGCCGACAAACAGTGCCAAGAGCAGAAGCTTTTGTGAGAAGAAAATGGAAGAATGGAATTTTCTGGGTGACAACCCTGAGTAGGGCCTGGGTGGGGACAGTGGCTTGATGCCATTTTGGCTCAAGTCCCTATCCCTGCAAGGTCAAATGGCTTTGTAGGATGGGGGTATTCCTCGCGGGCTGGCTTTTCTTTTGCCGCCATGTTTCCGACGGCAGCCACGGCCCTGGGGATGCAATCGGTCGACGACCTGCTCCAGCACTTTGGAGTGACTTCGGAGCTTTGGGAAGCTTTCACTCAGGAGACCGGCTCCCCTGGCAACGACTTGCGTTTGCTCGCTGCCCTTCCGGGCAGTGTGGTTGCTGCTGCCTTGTCGCAGGCCATGCTCCCCTCGGATGTCCCCTTAACTGCCGTGCAGGCTGCCCATGTGGGGTTAGTGTGGAAATTGGCGAGGAAGATCATGTACACGAAGGGCGGAGGTGCTTGGGACAACTGGGTGGAGGAAGATCCATGGAGTACCTCAGGGTTGAACGATTCATCCTCTTCGAGCCCAATGAGACCCACTTCAATCGACCCGGATGCGAAGGCCACGAAGGACAGGACTTTGAAATTCGCTCAAGTGTTGGACCAAGGAGACGACGGCGAGTTCGAGGTCTTGGGAGAAGAAGCGAAGATGACGTTGCTCCAGAAGTACATCGCGACGACGGGATCCCTGCCCGAGGAGGAGGAAGAGCCTACGATAGAACAGCTCTCGGCCCTGAAGAAGAAGCTGTCGATGGGAAAACCTCCTTTCGCGGACTTTGGAGTGTTCGTGCCATTCGGAAGGAAAGCATTGAGGGCTTCGAGGTACAGAACCTGGGTACCGACGGCCGAGGGCTACGTGTCGAAGGAACTGCCGGGTCCAGCCAACTTCACACAATGGAGGGCATGCTTCAGGGTGTTCACGACGACGATGATCATGTTGCAGGAATGCGCCTTGGCCCCCCTTCATGCTTACGAGCTGTACGTGGAGAAGCTGACTCGGCTATATCCGGACGCCTGGCATTTGGTGTACGCGGCGGACGAGATGGCGAGAGGGGAACTGCTGTCGAGGCTGAAGTTGAAGGTGGCGATGGATCAGCAAGAAGGAAAACCGGCCCCCTTGAACTTCGACGAGAAGAAACCATGGGAAGCCCTGATTCGCATGGTGCCGAACGAAATGAAATTTTGGCAGGACCAGATACACAGTCCGGCCCTCACATGGCTTGCGAGCGGATCGAAAGGAAGAGCGATGACCCCCCAGGAATCGATCGCCGAGAACGCACTACGTGGAGGTACGAGCTCGTTGATGCCAGCGATGGAGTCTGGGACGTTCGGCTCAACTTCACCGGCGACTACATCCACGGCGAGAAGGCAAGGAAACAGAGACAGACGGGAGGCGAAGAAGAGGAAATGGCAGGCGGAAAGAGAAGAGCTCCAAAGACTTCGAGAAGCCCGAAGCGAATCAAGTTGGGAGAGAAAAGGAGGAGGAAAAGGAGGAAGCAAGAAAGGAAAAGGAGGGAAGCAAGGGGAACCCATTTGCTTCTCGTGGAACAACGGGAACAGTCCGTGTGGATCATTGCCACCAGGAGCGGAGTGCACGAACGCAGTGAAACGGGCTCACAAGTGTTCATCCTGTGGGTCGCCGGGTCACCCAGCAATCAGGTGTCAAGCCAAGAAGTGAAGGAGACCGGAGACAGTCGTGCAGCAGGTGACGAAGGTGAGGCGAAGAAGAAAGAGGAGGATGAGGGTGAGAAGAAAGGAGAAAAGAAAGGAGAAAAGAAGGAGGAGGAGGAGAAATCCTCTCAGGAGAGGTTGGAAGAAAAGATACAGAAGTATGTGAAGGCCAGGCGATTCCGCTTCCTACATCACTTTGCAGGACCCCGTGATCCACTTGGAGCAGCTATCCATCAGGTAGCTGCCAAAAGAGGCTTGAACGTGGAGGTGATAGCGGCGGAGAGGGACTGGGGCCAGGACCTATGTTTGGATGAGCCCTACAACACGCATCTCAGGTGGGCGAAGGAGGGCCTCATCGATGGGTACCACTCAGGATTCCCTTGCTCGACGTTTTCGCGCCTGAGATTCCGAAATGCCCCTAACCTTCCAAAACCAGTTCGAACTCGAAGCGAACCACACGGGAAGAAGTCCAACTCCCAAGCTCAGCAAGCGGAATGCGACAGAGGGACAGTCATGCTTGCGCGCTCGGTTCAGCTGGCCGAGGAACTGGCAAAGAATCCCACATCGACGATAGTGGCCAGACCAACATCAATGGAGAACCCTCCTCCATCGGACGTCGAGGACCACCTGTCGGCTTGGGGGATGTCAGAAATGGTGGGGTACCTACGCATGGCTGGTGTCAAGATCGCCCAATTCAACACGTGTGCCTTCCAAGCAAATCGGGCACGTGGTGATCGTCACTTCAAGCCACAACAATTCGCAGGTACTCTCTACGGCATCGAATCCTTGAGCAGGGACTGCAAATGCGGAGGAGCCAAACATCGACCGATCATCGGGAAGAAGGAATCCCAAGAGTCGGGGGAGTACCCGGTCGAACTTTGCCGGGCCTATGCCTATTTGCTGATGGACCACTTCGAGAAGATGGCGACGGCAGAATACCTGGAAGGGAGGTTGAGGGAAGAAGAACATCAGCATTTCGAGATAGCAACGGGCGATGCGGAGGCGACATCAATGAGGACACGAAGGAACAAAGAAGGGGTGAAATTGTCGCCTACACCCGAAGCTCAGAGAGGAGTTGATGAAGAGTGGACGAAGGAAGAAAAACGAAGATGGGAAGAGAGCAGGGACAAGGCGAAGGAGAAGGAGGCAGAGGAAGAGGACAAGGAGAAGAAGAGGAGAAGGAAGAGCAAGGAGGAGGAAAGGAAGTTGGAGGAGAAGAGGGCGCAGAAAAGGTGGAGGTCGGCCTCAAGGAGAAGCAGGAGCCGCGGCGGAGCAAGAAGAGGAGACAGGAAGGGAGGAGAGAAGGTGGACCTACGCTGGAAGCCGGGCGAAGGGAAGTATGGCGTGCTCAAAGAAGAGAAGCAGAAAGAAAAGAGGTTGGACCAGCAGGGCTTCGTAGGCGGCATGAAGAATCCGATGGAAGTGGTGGAAGGGATTCCGACGCTGCAGAACTTGGGGCGCCGCATTTGGGGAGCTTGGGAGAGGCACTGCATGAACAACCCGAAGGTGTTGAAGGTGGGCGAAGAATATGGGTCGGAGGATTGCGAGTTAGAAGCACATTTGGTGGAAAGATGGAAAGAGGAGCTGCGGAAGCTGACAGGAGCTAAGGGGGCACCAGCAATCAAGTTGACAGGTAAATGGGCCTATCAATCTCCGATGGATGGGAACTTGATAGAAGCATGGTGCCGAAGAGGAGGGGACCCGGAGACGGAGGTGCACCGGTGGATCAAAGAAGGGGTGCCCCTGGGCATAAACGTCCCCATCAAGACTTGCAACATCTTCCCACCGACTTTGAAGGAGGAAATTCAACGCCCAGAAGATTGGCAAGCTGCACAAGGCTTGAGGGAGGACATTGGCAACTACGTTTCAGTGAGGGAGCAAGAGGAAGATGCCAAGATAGAAATCGACAGGCTGATGGACAGAGGTTATGCCGTCAAGGCCAGAAAAGGAGAAGTCGAAAGGGCGGGCTTCAAAGGTACGACAATCTCCAAGCTGGGGCTCATCGTCAAGACGAAGGAGGGAGGAGCGAAGAAGCGAAGGATCATAATAGACTTGAGGAGGTCAGGAGGCAACAGGAAGGCAGTACTCCCCGAGCGCTTGATCTTGCCCAGACCCACGGACGCCATAGCGATGGTTCGGAGGATGCATGCGTCGAAAGCCGAATTGGTGAGGCCGCAGGACAAGACCCTGGAGCTGGTGATGATAGACGTATCAGATGCCTACATGCACTTGGCAGTGGCGGAGGAGGAGAAGGGCCACTGTCTAGCGCCAGCTTTGGACGACGAGCATTGGTTGCTGTTCATAGCTCTCCTCTTTGGCTTCAAAACTGCACCACTGACCTGGAGCCGGGTGGCAGCTTGCATAGCCCGACTGCTGCAATCAGTGATACCGGCGGAACGGGGAATGCATCAAGTATACCTGGACGATTCCCTGTGGGTGCTAGGGGGCAAGCTGCATGAGAGGAACCATACCCTGTCGTGCATCATCCACACGATGGCAGCGCTCGGGCTGCGTTTGTCGCTGGGCAAGGGCGAACGATCGGCGGCTGTGACCTGGATAGGAATCCACTTCAAGCTAGTGGCACCCGACTACGATCACCTGCTGGTCACGCTCCCGGAAAAGTTCATGGATGAACTCCAAAAACAGCTGGAAGCGTGGGACAAGAAAGGAATGATTGGGACGGCAGAGCTAAGAAAGGCAGCTGGCAGGGTGGCTTGGCTGGCGGGCGTGCTGCCTCGAGCCAGGTGGGTCACCACGTCGCTGTATGCGACCTTGTACAGCCACGAGGACGATGTTCAGTCAGGGGTGGAGGCAGCTCGAAGGTCTCAAAGGAAAGATAGCCGTTCCAAGGACCATCTCATCCCGGTGAAGCGTGTGGAGAAGGCACGAACCTGGCTCCTGTCCTACTTGAAGGCGGCGAAGGAAAGACCGATCCGCAAGTACGCACTGTACAAGAGCGGAAAAGCGGAGGCCAGCGTGATGACGGACGCTTCACCCCTGGGCATTGGAGCTGTTCTTCTGGTGAACGGAAGAGTCACGAAGGCATTGGCATCGCCCATCAACGAGATGGATGCTAAGTTGCTGGGCTTCCAATTGGGCGAATCAAGCTCGCAGGGCATTGCAGAGACGCTGGCGATCTTGGTGGCCCTCAAACACTGGGGTAAGCTCCTGGCCGCAGTGAACGTGGCAATCGGGGTACAGTCGGACTCCGTGACAGCGCTGGCACTCACTCAGAAATTCTCAAACAGTAACGCCTCTCTGAATTTCTTGGGGGCGGAGTTGGCGGTGGTGTGCGAAGCGCTGGGCTTGTCGGACCTCCTTCCGACGCATCTCCCTGGGGTCGCCAACAAGGAAGCCGACTTCTTGAGCAGACCAAATACTTGGGCAACCACCACCTTGCCGGTCGCCTTAGAGGGCATTTCAATCGAGACGCCCCAGGAAAGATCAGCAGCGTGGTACCGCCTGAACCCGCCAGGCCCCGACACTGCCGACTGGCAGGACGGCGAAGCCTTAGTGGCGGCTTGGGCCTGTCGTTAACTCGATGGCCAGATTCTGAAGGAATCGTTTGAAAAAGGGACACAGGAGGTGGCGGAAGAGGTTGAAAGGTAAGGCTGAAAGTTCGGTTTGGTGTGCGACGTCGTCGATCGAGCCGATTCGTGAGTTGTGTGTGTTAATGCACGAGGTGAGGGCCCAAGGATGGAGTTAGCTCCAGCGGACGCGATCGTCCTCCGCCCACAGGAACTCGGTGGGCAGCCGGCACCATGGCTGGCCTATTGGGCTTTCTACCTCATCGTGATCGGCATCTTCACGCACGTCGGGGCAGCCTGGCTTGGCTGCAAGAAGTTCATAGCATGGTGGAAGACACTCCACACTCCGCGGGGTTACCCATGGACGTGGTGGAAGGCGGAGACGTCAACCGAGAATTACATCAACAACACCCTGGACTCCGAAGACGAGGAGTGGGAAGAAGCCTGGGACATGGACCAACCACGGGACTATCTCGACACGTACCTGGACTGGGGGCCGGCATCAGGGATACGTCGAAGGTCGACCAGGCCAGAAGAACCCCAACCCGAGCCATGGAGGAACCTGCTGAACAGCACGGCCAGCAGGGAAAGGGGAACAGAAGAGCCTTCAACACCGAACTTGCTGGACACACCTTCCACGAGAACCACGGCACTGGAAGGGACTTCAACCAACAGGTCGATTTCTCCGAGGGCGAACTACTCACCATGGAGGGAGTCCGTGAGGGAGTCGAGGGACATGCAGTGGTTGGTGACCAGGAGGCTCAACGCAAAGGACAGCTGGCAGCTGTGAGATTTGGTGCGGACAAAAGGGAGGTGTGCCCGGGCGAAGATCGTGACGCAGAAGGCTTTGGACTGAACGAAGAATGGGGAGAAGAGAAGTTCGATTTCAGCTTTCCACCGGTACCTCCAATGGAAGTGCTGTCAAGGGGGAGTGAATCAAGCGGGGGATTGCTCCATTTGGTGAAGAGAAGGAGGACTTCGAAAGAGAAACCGGAAAGGGAGGAGAGGCTGAAGGCGAGTGGCTCTCAGGGGAGACGGGGGCTACATCGCGAACGTGGTGGACGCGGCGAAGGTAAAGGCTCAGGGATGAAGGAGAAGAGGCGGAGGAAGGACATGCCTAAAGAGCCGGAGCGAACAAAAAGGGTGAAGAAGAATGAGAAGTGGAAGAAAGCAATACAGACGGCTCGCATCTTCAGGTTGAACCGACCGCAACGAGACAAGAGCCTGCAGGACTTCAAGGAGGGGTACTATGCGAACTCCTCTAGAAGGGCAAAGGCTTCAGTGCGCAAAACGGTCAACAAGATTCTGCTTAACCTGGGCACGAAGGGGACAGCAGAACAATGGTCGGAGGAGACACTGGAAAGAGTGGGCGCTGTGCTCAAGAAAGCGAACTATAAAGCAGGGGTCACCTACTTATCGGAGTACAAGCAGATGTTGATCGAGGCGGGCAAGACGTGGTCGCACAGACTACAAAGGACATTCGGACAAGTGGCTCGTGCATTGAAGAGGGCAAGGGGGCCGGTGAAGAAGGCGGCTGAAGTGGAGGAAGTGGAGTGGATGGAAGCCTGCAAGATCGAGACGAACGAAGAGCTGAAGGGCCCAGTACACCGACCAGCCCTCATGTTTGGGTTTGCGACCGTCTGGATGCTGCGGGAGGTGGAACTGGCGGCAGTCCACAAGGGGGACATCGTGATCAACGAGAAGGAGAAGACGGTGGCGTTGACCCTGAGGCTCACGAAGTGTGACCAGGAAGCCAAAGGACTGAAAAGGACTCTGCAGTGCTGTTGCCCGGAGGAATGCAACTGGTCAGAACCCTGTCCTTTGGCGATTTCGAAAGCAGCTTTGGACAACGTCCCGATCGAGGAAGATCATCTAGTACATGGCGACAGCGAAGGTATAATAGAAAAGAACCAGATCATAGGAGCTTGGAGGAACTTATTTGGGCAGAACATCTCAGGGCATTCCGCCAGGAGGTCAGGGGCCTTGCAATATATCAGACGGGGTTGGCGCGTGCCCCAGGTGGCTTTTCTGGGAAGATGGAAGAGCGACGTGATCCTACAGTACGCGGAAGAGGCCCTGGAAACCATGCCGGTGATGAACAAGGCGATCGACCTAGCAGGTATGAACCCAGGAAGAGGAGGAAATGAACGGGTCGTGGAGAAGTTGGTGGTAACGAAGGGCGAAGAACAAGGCAAAGAAACGGAGAAGAGGTTGAAGAAGGAGCTGGACAGGCTGAAGGACAAACAAGATCAGCTCGATGCATCGATTTTGAAGTGGGAGGAGATCTCCAACAATCATCAAGGCCTACTACCACCAGTCATCCTCTCGAAGAGTGGAACGGTACATGAGAACAAGAAGCAGCCGGTGGCCTCACCCGTCACATCCTGGCATACGAAGTGCGGTTGGTTCTACGGGGCTTCGGTGTTCACTTTCGGGATGGACGTGACGAAGGTGAATTGTCTGAAATGCACCTCTTCTGCGCAGAGCACGGAAGAAAGATTTGGCAGAGGAGGTGCATAGCTGATAAATGAAGACATCAGCATTCAGCAGCGGTTCAAAAAGAACGTCTTCGTTATCTTCTTGGGTGGTATGGCCCGCGTGTTGTCTGAGAAGAAAATGGAAGAATGGAATTTTCTGGGTGACAACCCTGAGTAGGGCCTGGGTGGGGACAGTGGCTTGATGCCATTTTGGCTCAAGTCCCTATCCCTGCAAGGTCAAATGGCTTTGTTTTCCCACCCACCCTCACCAAAGAAAGATTTGGCAGAGGAGGTGCATAGCTGATAAATGAAGACATCAGCATTCAGCAGCGGTTCAAAAAGAACGTCTTCGTTATCTTCTTGGGTGGTATGGCCCGCGTGTTGTCCGTTTCTAAAGCTGCTAGAAATGACTGAAGGCCCAGTTAAAAGCTGCGATGCCACAGCTGTTTTTAGGAAATGGAAGAACTCAAAGACATCGCCCAGCTGTCTGCCGACTTGGATATCTGGGGGCCATTAGCTAGGCAGAAAAAGGAAAGAGCTGAGGTAGAAATTCACTGGACGCGCTCTCACCTGTCAAAGCCAGAACATGAGCGACTGTTTCCAGACCAGCAGTGGATGCACCAAGCTAACGCAGAGGCTGATCACACGGCTTCTACCTTTGCCGATCAGCTTGCTGAATCGCTGAACCTGAGAGCTAAACAGGAACTGCTGACCTGGGTAGATGCTAGAGTGCACAGGATCCAGACACGTTTGATTGAGGTTGCCAGATTCTGGTTAAGCCAGAAGGAACCAGGAATCAGTAAACCGTTGCAAGTACAGAGTAGCCCCAAGCCTGCCACTAGGAGTGAGCTCATTCAGTTTTTGCACGTCACGCATTCTCATCACCTGTGGGGTCCTGTTCTTTCTCAGGAGTATGGTAGCAGGCGGTGCTGCACACGCTGTGAGCTCATGATTTTGGCCTACTGGGGTAAACACAAGGTTTCGGTTTTAGCTGGCAAACCTTGCTGTTCCAGCAGCGCGGATTTCCTTGGGCCTGTTGTGCATCCTTCTCATCGTTTGGCTTGGTGTTCGGACCCTAGAAGGCACAGATGTGTTCAGTGTCGAGCTCAGGGAACCACGGCGCAGCCCTTTTTGAAACCCAGTTGGCGCAAACCTTGTGCCAGAGAGACTAAGGGCAGGAGGCTCTAGAGCTTCTGATTTGCTGGTGTTGCTTAGGAAAAAGACGTTGACATCTTTGGGACGCCCAGGCTGTGTTTCATTTTTCCCCAGATAGCGAGGCTATGGGGTTCTTACTTCAAATAACAATGAGTTGCCCGTGCGCGCTTTCGAGACAGGTTGCCGGTGCTGTGCTGGTGCTGGGTGCCGGTGCTGGTGCTGGTGCTGTGAGCTTGAGCTGGCTGTGCACGTGGTGGAGACAGGTTGCTGGTGGTGCCGGGTGCCGGTGCTGTGTGAGCTGGTGGAGACAGGTTGTTGGTGCCGGCGCCGGTGCTGGGCGCCGGGTGCCGGTGCTGGCGCTGTGTGCTGGCTGTGCACGTGGTGGAGACAGGTTGTTGGTGCCGGTGCTGGTGCTGGGTGCCGGGTGCCGGCGCTGACGCTGTGAGCTGGCTGTGCACGTGGTGGAGACAGGTTGCTGGGTGCTGGTGCTGGGTGCCAGGTGCAGGTGCTGGTGCTGTGGCTGCGCGCGTGGTGGAGACAGGTTGCTGGTGCCGGTGCTGGTGCTGTGGGCTGGCTGTGCATGCACATGGTGGAGACAGGTTGCTGGTGCCGGTGCTGGTGCTGGGTGCCGGTGCTGGTGCTGTGAGCTGGCTGTGCACGTGGTGGAGACAGGTTGGTGGTGCTGGTGCTGGGTGCTGGGTGCCGGTGCTGGTGCTGTCAGCTGGCTGTGCACGTGGTGGAGACAGGTTGCTGGTGCTGGTGCTGGGTGCCGGTGCTGGCCGGGTGCCGGTGCCGGTCTGCAGGTGCTGGTGCTGGGTGCCAGGTGGTGCCTGTGAGCTGGCTGTGGACGTGGTGGAGACAGGTTGCTGGTGCTGGGTGCCGGTGCCGGTGCTGGTGCGGGTTCCGGTGGCGGTGCCGGTGCCGGGCGCTGGTGCTGGGTGCAGGTGCTGTGCGCTGGCTGTGCGCGTGGTGGAGACAGGTTGCTGGTGCCGGTGCTGGTGCATGGTGCTGGTGCTGCTGCTATGAGCTGTGGTGGAGACAGGTGCCAGGCGCCGGTGCTGGTGCTGTGAGCTGGCTGTGCACGGGGTGGAGACATGCTGGCGCTGGTGCCGGGTGGCGGTGGTGGTGATGGTGCTGCGCGCTGGCTGTGCACGTGTTGGAGACAGGTTGCTGGTGTTGGGTGCCGGGTGCAGGCTGGTGCTGTGAGCTGGCTGCGCACGTGGTGGAGACAGGTTGCTGGTGCTGGCGCTGGCGGGCGCCGCTACTGGTGTTGGTGCTGGGCGCTGGCTGTGCACGTGGTGGAGACAGGGTGCCGGGTGCTGGGTGCCACCGACCAACCGCCGCTTCTGACAGTGAAGTGCCAGCAGTCATGGGCCGCGTGAACTTATGCACGCAATATCATACGGTGTTGTCGCTTGAGCGTTCTTTGTCTATGAGCGCTGTGGGGTATTTACACTCTTCAGGTTCTGTTTTGGCCGACGGCTGTGTCAAGGGCTGTACTGTTTGCGCGCATACTTTTGTATAATTTCTATGCGCAGCGTCAGGCTCTCAACCGACCATTGTTTCAGCGTGTTTCAGCCTGCTACACACAAAATAGTCGTTTGGATATTGCTTGGCCTTGGGCGAGTGAAGCCTACGGGCTTTGCCGTTTGTGCGCATTCTTTTGTGCGCATAAACGTATACGCGCAAGATCATACGGCCTTATCGTTCTACAGATCGTTGCTTCAAGCATGCTACAAAGGCAATAGTGGCGCTGGATACTGCTTGGCCTTGGGCCAATGACACTTACGGGCTTTGCTGTTTGCGCGCGTACTTTTGTGCGCATAGACTTATACGCGCAAGATCACACTAGGAATAGCTATGGGTGCAAATAAGAATGAGCTGGGCGCGCACTTTCGAACTGGTGTTGTGGTCCTGCGTGCTGGTGGCTGAGCGTGCGTTTAAGACGGGCGGTGGTGCTGGTCGGGTGCTGGTCCCGCCGCCGGTGTTGTCAGCTGGCAAAGCGCACCGGTGCTGGTGTCGGCTGGTTGCGCGCGCTGTGGAGGCGCCGTAAGCTGGCTGTGCGTACAGGCTGTGTACATTCTTGTTCCAGCCAGTCGCCTGTCAACAGGTCGTGGGATGCTGCCTAGCTATCTGGGTCTATGCTGGTCTAATTTTGACACAGATTCCAAGAAGCAAATCCATCCCCCACGGGTGTTGACCGTGTGAAAGCACGTCTTCCCCACGCAGCCAGGGTCGTCCACGTCTCCAGTCGTTTGGAGAAGAGATCGCAGCTGGACCATCACCTGCTGGACGCAGTCACTCGGGGCGAGGCTGGGCCCAAACGGGACTCTCGGGGCGAGGCGCGATTTGGCTGGGCAGACTTGGCATCTTTTTGGGTGACCTCAGAAAGCAATCAGGTTTCCATCGATGTGCTGCATTTAGTTGAGGATTTTTTGGGATGTTATGTTTGGGCCTTGCTAGTTTAAATCATTAAGGGAACTGCAGATGAGCACACAAAAGGCTGTGAACGGACGCGTGAAAAATGGCCGCCTTGAATGCTAGAATCTCATCAAAACTCTCAATGTTCTTAATGCCTTTTCCAAACCAGTATGAACATGAGTCATGAGTATTCTTTTCTTTCTAAGAAAACCACAAACTTAACCAGCCCTTTGAGTGGGTCTTCTTGAGTGCTTCCATTGCAGGTGGGGGAGAACCCCTATGCGGACTCCAAGCGAGGCTTGATGCTCTGGACCGGGATTCCCAGGCTATGGAATGTCCAGGCTTTTTGTTTTCTTTGTGTCGTTCGCGAGGTTCACAGAGCTTGCGAGCTGAGATGATGAGACTTTGTTGTAAGCCTTGAGATCCCCAGATCCGATCCAGTCTGCTGTTGACCCCCCTGGGGCGCTGGAAGCAAGCGGCTTTCCAGGGCGGTTTGCAGGGCGGTTTGCAGCCTCCAAGAAGTCTGAGACATCATCCCGCTGTGGTGAATGCTTCGCAATGGCCATTTGTGAAGGAATCGTTCGCTTCCTTTTTGGCTGTTTCTCACACCCCAAGTGAAGCCATGACACAAGGGCCACCGACTGCCCCTTATGCTCCACCGCGTCCACCTGGGGTGACACCTCTCTTCACCGCAGGGACGGCTGTTCCCACCGCACCCGCCAGGACGTCCGTGCGGGCACAAAGCTTGGCCTTTAAGGGCGGCCTCTTCTGCCATGCAGCGTCACCGGGCATCGTGGACTCCGACCTTGGAAGGCTTCGAAGGGATCCGCGAAGAACCGGCGAGTGAACTGGTCGAGTTCGGTTTTTCGTTGCTGTTCTCGTTCCATCTTGCGAGCTCGGAGTATTGCGAGCTCCTTTTTTAAGGGCCATTACTGTAGGTTTCTTTTATTGTTTTTTGTGTTTTGTTCGTAGGACCGTAGTTTCTTTCTTGTTCTGGCATCGATTTTCCTTCATTCCTGCAAGTCTTGGGAGGGCGAGCGGGAACTGCGGGAACTGCGGAAGCAAGAAGTGCTGAGTCATTATGAATGTCTACGGTATCTTCTTTTCCTTTCGGCAACAAGAAACCACATGGCTTGGACTTGTGAGAGACGTGTTTCACCAGCTGCAAGGCATGTTGTTCCAGCATGGCTTTGGCCTTTTACCAAGCCCCTGCGCAGCTTGGTCGGATGGCTGCAGAAAAGAACCTTGAACACAGCGAAACAGCAGCATGGTAGCTCTTTCTTGGTGTATAGAGTGGAACAAAGACCAATAGAGGGAGGTCCCTAGTAACTAGTTGCTGAAGGTAGGTGGCGATGACGTGCATGTTTATCTCTTCTCTTCCAGGGTGACACAACCAACAAGGTTGGTGGGATGCTCCTGAGCTTCCAATAGATATGCGCGGTTCCTTTTACGGCGACTTAGGTGCTGCACGTCGTGTCTGAGAGACTACTGTGGATACATTATGTTATGATACATTGACTTAACGATCAGGCATGATGGCCAATCCTAGGTTGTGTTGTGGCTTTGCTCGGCATGATCATTCATCTATAAGCACTGGGAGTCCTGTGTTTGGGCCCCGGGCTCCGCTTTTTCATCTCCTGCCGAGCTGCTCTTTTCTGTCGCTCAGGAATGCTTCTGATGCGCTCCCCAGCGGAAGGGGCACTTGCAGTGGTGGGAGGGGCGTTGACGCCTCAAGCCACCAGCTGTTTTGGACGCTACTGGGACGGCGAGGTGCGAGCCAACCATTTTTCATTGCATCAAGTTAGAGTACGAAGTTGTTCGTTGGTTTTCCAAGCTCACAGTAGACCAAAGTCAGCGGAAGACACACGTTATTGGTGTTGTCCTCAAACAAACATAAATGAAGTCTTTGGCCAATCGGACACACACACACAGATATACCCCCCTCCAATACACACCCTTTGTGTGTTCTATACTGTAAATTACATTGTTTTAGTGATATTTTGAACTCATTTTTTTGAGTGATATTTTGAGACCTTTTTCCACATGATTGTTTGGAATACTTTCTGGAGGGGTGGTACCATGTTTGGGGATGATAAGCTATCAGTTAGTTGAACGGGGAGTACCATATATATCTGTATATATATATATGTCCTCAGGTGAAGATTATATCTGAGAACAAGTAGCAAACAATAACATTGTTCAAAAACCTGCAGAAATCTTAGGAAATCTTAAGATTTCCCTGGAACCAAGAAACCAAGAACCAAGATTGCTCAGAAGTCTTGGGGATAATCTTGGTTCTGGGTCCCAGGAAACCTTCTCATCAGAACCAAGATTTTGCCCAAGACTTCTGTGCAATATTGGTTCTTGGTTTCTTGAACAAGACTTGTGGTTGTATCTATTTCGTGTCTCTGTCATGATGTCGTTTTCTGTGGCTGGACATTGTGACGTACAAGGACGCAATCCTTCGGCTGACTTTACCAACAACACCAGAAACGGAGGTGAAGATGTGCCAGCCCAGTCCGGAAGACCTCATGTTGAAAGTCAACGAGGGCAGCATTTTCGTTCATCCTATACTCGTCAGCCCATGGACAGAAAAGCCTTACACAATGCTTTGGGCAACGCTCAGCGCATGGCACGTCTACCTGGTGGAAGTAGGCTGGTCTCAAGAAGCACAAGCACGGCTCGAAAACTTGCTGGCCAAGCCTCTTAAGGGACAGAAGGGTTTGCCGGCCCTCAAGGATAAATCCTCCGGCTCATCTTCGTCATCCTCAGAGTCCAAGTCACAGCGCATTGCCAAAAAGAAGCGCGCAGTGAGTGCATCTTCCGGTTCTTCCTCTGAGTCTGAATCCTCTGAGAAGAAGCCCACTGACAGCGAAGTGGCATTGAACAACCAGCTCTGGACGGCCAAGAAAGACTTCGACGCCATCTTCTCAGCTTTGCACCATTGTGTCAACAAGAGCTGAAACAAGCCAAGGTCACCATCGAGAAGAAAGAAGCGGTCATTGCCCGACTGGAGCGGGAAATCGAAAGGCTGCAGAAAGAGGAGAGTGAGGCAGACGTGGAGGCTATGATGTATTCTGATTGAGGGCCTGCCTCACTTCGTGCGTTTTCGCACGGATTTTTAAATGTCAGCTCATGCCGAGGAAAATAAGAGAGACATTCATTCTTGATATACTGCACTCAGAGTACGCAAGTGAAGTTTCATGTCGCACGCATTACAAGCAATGTGGCAGAGTTTTAATTAAAAAGACCTTGTTTGCGTGAACGCGTACAGCAAAATCAATGTCTGCGTGATCACTGTCTTATAAAGTCATTTGCTGACACTTTCACACACACTTCAGCAACTAACAACAGCCAGAGACCGCGGACGTCCCTCTGCTAAGTTTCCTGTCTCAAGCATTCTCCTCCGCTTTGTCATCTGCTGTTTGTCATGGCGCCACTTGTGGCTACAGCAATGGCAAGACATGGTGGAAGGTCTTGGACTCTGCGCGCCTTGCACGCTCCAACTTGCACTTTCAAGATTCAAGACCGAGGCTGGGATCGAAGAACCTTCATCCTTGTCCACCTTCCTTGCTGGCGTGCGTCGCAAGCTCAATGGCATGACTGCGCTCACCGTCCTCTTTGATGTTCACATGTCTGTGCCTGAGTTTGCTCCTTTGACTTCGCTGGAAGATTGCACCTGCAACCGTAATGCGCACTCTTTGCCAGAGGGCATTCTTCTTCCTCGTGCGCTACCTGATGGCTGTCGCATGGGCATAGTGGCGCGCAACATGGAAGATAGCGCATTGCAGGTTATCAAAACTCTCTACTTTGCGGACAAGGTCAACCCAAAGGATGCGTTGAAGTATTGTGCTGGCACTCCCTGTGGCCTCATCTCTCGTCCTGGCCCCCGGGTTTTGAAAAAAGGCATTGGTATCCTTGCTTGGCCGGCTGCCTGGTTTCCAGCAATACAATTGAAAAGCCTGTGAGAAGATCACAATCTACTCAGTGGGCACCAGCAGATGAAGAACTTTGGGCTGGGATTCGGTACATTAATGAGAACGCACCAGAGTGCGACTCTGAGAACCAACAATACTTTTGGGTGCTGAGCAATATAAAAGAAAATGCTGACACACCTATATCTGGCTGGAAAGTGCGTGTCATGGCACAAAACAAGGCGAAGGGAATGGCAGGAGCGAAATTGGAAACAGACTTCCCATTGCAGACCTATTCCCTCAAGCCTTTCCTCGCGGAGAAGTTGCTGCCACTTCTGTACCCGCTCTGGATGAACTTCGGTTTCATGTTCCTGGCTGGCCAGGAGTCGGAAAGACTCCTGCAATCATCATCATGATGTTGGCAATGGGTCGCTACCATGCCTCTGTGGCGAAGGGCAAAGTCTTTAGACAACTTTCGCCATCGAGTGGGGCTGGTTCATGAAGGAGTCTTCCTGGATGATCCCTGCCGTGAAAGATTTACCTGGCAGATTTGAAGTCCTTTGTGACAAGCTGGCCAAACATTGTTGCAGGGCCTATGCTACCAACGACGTTCAAGAAGAAGATGAACCCAAAGAGGACCAGCGCCTATGCATCAGCGTGGAGGAGTTCCTTACCCTGCTACGCCGTACCTTTCCTGGTGACAGGCCAGCTGACATCCGTGCAATCTTGAAGAGAAGCGTGGTGTTCGTCTTCGGTCTGTCTGCTTTATACCTTCGCCTTCCCAGCCAGCAAGACGATGCGCCAATCCATCGCATTCAGATTCAAAACTTGCGCAAGGATGTTTTGGCCGATAGCGACAAGGTCTTCTACGGCAAGTTCAAAGGTGGTAGTATAGAGAAGCCACCTGGCTTTGAAGAGGCTACTGAGAAGGAGCAGAGCGTGATTCGGCAGAGCATGGAGGTGTATGGGAGCTTTGGAAAAGCGGAAGAGTATGTATCCCATGCCAATGGCGAAATTGAAGATCTGCTGCTCCACTCAGATCCGAAGCCCAGCACGCACGGACACTACCTCCACCGGATCTCACTCATACAAATGCGTGGCAGCCTCTTCATCGGCCGCAAAATCATCAGCAGGCTCTTGTTCTTTAATTTGCGAGGGTGTTGGAGGCATGTGTGCAGGTGAAGATGCCATTGGCGAAGTCTTGCCCGGCACTCTCTTGTTTGGTGGTGGATAGACGAACTTGCCAATGCGCTTGGGGACGGAACCAGGCAAAGGATGTCAGGGATGAAGGCAACCAAGCTGACAGTCTTGACGCTGATATGACAAGTCGGCTTGGCGATGAACTTTTTGCCTATGGTGAAAAGTTTGCGGATCGTTGTGTGCCTCCACATGTGCTAAGCCATTGTCTAGATCATGCAAATGTCAGCGCTGTTTCCTTCATGATGCTTTGCGTTCACAGTCCCAGTTCATCGTCGTCTGCAAACTTATGACAGGCTGTGTCAGTAACTTGGTGTTGGTATTGTAGCACCTGCGCTGGCTTTCAATGACTTTGTCTTCTGGCATTGTGACTTCTGCAGCCGTTTGGTAAAGGTTTGCCCTGCCGTTTGCCTTATGGCGCCCAAGGTAAACCCTGGCATATAGTCGCCAAGCGCGGCAAACTTCGCATTCTTCACAAGCGCCCCGCGCCAGAAGGTGAAGTACCTCCGCGGCGCCCGAGACCTACCAGCTTCAGGTGTCCGCTCGGACCGTGCGACTTGCGACTTGGAAGCGGTCCATCGACGAACTACTGAATGCATCAGACCAGAAGATCTTGTCAATCCCTGAGCAGGACAGACTCCTTCCCAAGTGGTCCGGCGGCCTCTGTTTTTATAGGCGTGTCCATCAGAAGCTTCGGGCTTACACAGTGCCGCGCCACCTACATCCTGTCTTCCAAGTCTCATCGGGCGCACAGGCGGCGCTGCTGCTTCTCCTGTTGACTGGTGTCACAAACACTCAATGCCGATTGCTTTTGGGATGCTATCGCAAGATGATTGAAAACCTGCGCTCACGCCTGCTTTCCGTGCGCAAGTCTTACGTTGAGGAAGAGGAGAAGCGCATCACCTTTGGCGCTGGCAAGACCTGGGTCGACGTTGAGGCTGACGAAGCCACGTTCGATCGCGCGAATGTCACCAAAGATGTCACCTACCACACTAGTCCTCACCCGTCTCAAACCTGAGCTGTCAGTCAAAAGGGCTCCAGGCCCAGGTGCCATTCACAAAGTCGATTGGACACCATTGGCGGGAAAACGTCTTGCTGGTCGAAAGGTGGTGCTCCACACGGATTCTGCAAAAAGTTGCCGGACCAAGGTGAGTGGTGTTCTGCATCATGCAGTGGTGCACTGCAAAAAGAAGACCTTGTGGGCTCCGCAGTATGTCCGTGTCGTTTCTCACAAGCTACCAGGAGGCAAAGCCTTAAAGGTCAAAGCAGGCACGCAGCATATCGACCGTGCCTGGCGGTTCCTTAAAGAACGGATCCGCCGCAATCAAAACGTGAAGGCTGGAAGCAAAGCTATCCAAGCCCAAATTCGATCCGCTCAGTATGAGTACTGGCTTCGCGGATCTCCTATGGTTGCATACTGGTGACTTGGTCACAAGGACAATGTCTCAGTATCTCTTCAACAAGTAGCATCTGATTCTGAGACCAGATTTTGTCTGGTCATGAAACAGATGTCTGCTGCACTCGACTGCTGTCAGGTGTACCAAACCTGCTTTTCATTCATCAATGCTACTTAATCATTCCACACAAGCATCTGCAAACCATCAAGCGACACAAGCACCTGCAACATTTGCAATCCATGATCATCATTCATGGTTGGTCTGCCACTCTCAACGCAAAAGGTGCGTATTGGTGGGGGGTAGCATATATATATATATATATATATATTATATACAATGAAAAAGGGCCTGGCGTGCATGTGTACTTTGCCAGCTGGGTCGTTGGGGTCCTGCTTCTAGGCCCAAGTGGAAGATCTGGTCATCGAACGCATGGGCCACTTGGCGAACAATTCAGAGGGGTCCCCGTGTGGGCGGGTCGCCTTGGTGCAGGTAACAAGCAGCTGGCCCTTTCCTTGGTGAAATGGGCCACCAAAGCCACCGCCCTGGAGCAGCGGGCTGACGGCTACGACCGCTAGAAAGAAAGAAAAAAATTCGTCCGTGCCGCGACCACGGCGACGACGTGTCGCGCTGTAGCTCCCGGGATGGATGAAGTTGATGCCATGTGCATATATATATATACATTGCTTTTCTCTGGGGTACTAAAAGTTCTTTGAAGGCCTTGCATTGCACAGTTTAGGCCATCAAGTAAGCAGAGTTTGGTGTGCAAGGCGTTTTTGAGCTGGGGAGTCACAGTTTTGAGCCTTGATTCATTTTGATTCTCCGGTTTCACTCCTCAGCCTTTGACACAAACAGTTGGACTGCCTGACAGCGTATCATGTTTTGCTGGCTATGCTATGCTTGTTTTCTTGCGGCTCAAGCAACAGCTTGTTTAAGTTTAACTGCGAAAGGTTTGCCTCCACATGAAGGGCTCAGGGAATCTCAGGGACAGAATGGCTCCAAAGAAGGCCTGAACCCTTTCAAATGAAGCCCTTTGAAGTGCAACACAGTTTAAGTTGGTCAGAATGACATCTAAGTTGGTCACCGAAACGTAGGAAGAGCAAGTAAGACGTGAGGAGCAACATGAGACTAGAAAATGGCGGCGCGCTTTCAACATTCACCAGTAGGCCCCCAAATAGTCAACACTCTTCCAGTGGCAGGTTCGGATGGAAAGACAACACTGAACAGGTCACTAGTCATGATCGGTCCTAGTTCGAGGGTCGAAGGTCTTCACCTGGTTGATTTCCTCACCAAAACTGAGAGGGACAGCTTTGTTCGGTCTTGGGTGTCTTGTTGCATCCGGACGGTCGCCCAGAGGTAGCCCACGGAGGGATGGTGTGAGTCATCTGCCGCCATGGCACATCTCTACAAGCAGCTCACACCGCTTCTCGCTTGGACAGTGGGTCCAACTTCCCCCGCGTTCGCGGCCGTGGAACGGCCAGGAACGGGACCCCCGAGCGAACGGGCCTGAAAAACAGCCAGCAAAAAATGGGTTGTGCAGCTGTACAAGAGTTATTCAAGACACCACCCGAAGGAAGCACTCTCATACATATGGTTTCAATCTCAGGAGATCAACACCTTGTTTGAGACGGCTTCTTTTGCATTTTTGGAGGATCCTGCCTCTAAGGCAGGTCCTGTACGTGGACAAGAAGTCGGGCTATGATCCCAAGAAATGGGCGGAGGCAGGCAGAAAGGCTTTTGTGGAAGGCCACAAGTCCAAATCGATCTTCATGATTTGAGGCCATCAAGGTCACCCGCACCGTCTACGTGGGAAATATGGCTTTCTGCACCAGAGAGGACTGTTTTTGGAGTTGGTTTCCGAGAATTGCCTCTGGATTTTGCAACTCATTTTTCCTAGATGAACGACCACAACCTTTGGAGTGGAAAAGACTGTTGCAACCCTTTAGCTGCTTGGCATGAGCTTGGCGTGAAGGAGCAGGTTTATGAACTGTTCTCGAAGTGTGGCGACATCAAGCGAGTGATTATGGGCCAAAGGCTCAGGAAGCGAGGGCCCGCGTGGAACATCAAATCAGAAAACCGTTAAGTGACAGTGCGCGCTTTTTCCAACAGGACACTTTTGGTCTTGGTAGGATTTCAAGATACCAACATGTTGAATGTTGGTCTTGTTCTGGTTTTCAACTAACTCCGGTCTGCTCCAAGGTCTCAATCGAAGAGACAAATATCCGTGTGGCTTTTGCTTCGTGGAGTATTTTACTCATGCCAGAGCCTGAGACAAATATCGTGCATTCTTGGGCGAACCCGCCACCGGCGGGTGAAGCTTTTTGTTGTCAAGGATTGGAAGCTATTAGATCGAATTTATGTGGAAGAAAGCGATAGTTTTCAATTAGGCTTCCAAAACATGCGGAGACACTTATGAGCCTCAGATGCTGAAGACGATAAGCTACCAGAAATTGCAGACACTCACTTGTACCATAATGAAGAGACCAGTGCCAGGAGCAAGCGGAGCAAGCAGTGAACTTACTGCGGCCCAACGGCATGGATGTCGGAGCTTGACGTTCTTGATAAAGATATGGATGTGGCTTAGACGGTCGATTCCAAAACTCCAATTTCAAGCGGAATCTGTGCAGCATCCATTTTCGGTCTACACTGGTCTACACCAGTTGTCAATGCCTGCCGTTCTCTTCAGTTGTTCGACAGGGCCAAAAAAGGACTGGACACCGAGGGGCTTGGGCGCGCCAGCGCGCGCGCGCGTACTGAGGAACAAGATCACCTTGGATGATCGTGTCATCCGCCAGGGCCGCAGGGGACGGAGCCGCCGGATCTGATCTCCGGCCCCGAGGTCGGCCGAGGTCGAAGGGGTGGAAAACCAGTGATGTTGGGGGTTCCCAAGATTCATGTCCAAGGTGTGTATCAAGCATGTCTTCAGTGCATTCTCGACATCGAACGGCAGAACGACATCACGTCCGTGACATCGTTTTTCATGGTTCTGCCCGCATGCGATTTCGCCGTCCGCCGGTTTCCGTCAGGTGTTGACCTGGACGCTGGCTTTACTGAGGGCCGTCAGTTCGGCCGGGGGGAGTGACTTGGAGTGGCAAGGTCGGTGTGTGGACACCCCCCAGTTGGTGGAGCAAAGCAGAGACGAAAGAAGGGGGCCCATCCCACTTCACGCTTGATGTTTGTTGGATAATTAGAGGGTATATACATGTGTATCCAATGGCAGAAGATTTGCAAATGTGATTGAATCTATCATCCGCCACCAATGGTTCATGCGAAAGCAGGTTCAAAGGGTGCGGAAAAAGCCAGCGCGCACCCTGTGAAAGAAGGCCACTTGCCTGGCATAGGGGGATAGGCTTCGCCTATCTATGATTTCTCCCTTGATGTATTTGAGAAGCACCGTCTGGGCCCAGGGTCTTCGGCCCAGTCTGGGGCCCAGCCGCCCAACCGCCGAGGTCCGGGGGGCAATGGCGCGATGACTTCCGTGAAGATGTGGACGAAGGGCGTGGTGGGCAAGGCGACGGATGTGGCGCGCTACCGGCGCCGCGCCGGTAGCGCCAGGGTGGTTGAATGGTTGGGCAGTGGTTGAATGGTTGGCTGGTTTGAGTGCAATTTGGCGTTGATGATGTTGATTGTTGGGTTGGGTGGGTGGGATACCCTCATGCATTTGCAGAGAATCAAGCAATTACGCCAAACATGGTTCGATAGACGAAAAAAAGCCTTTTCCCCCACAACCCCCTGCTTCCGTGTCCCTATGTGCAATTTTTGGAGCAGTAGGAGGAAGGGGATCCTATGTGCCTTGCGATGGATCCTGACTTCATCCGCCCTGAATGAAGTCCACGAGATCTGTTGAAACATCACTCATCCATCCCGAGGTGGAGGCCTGTTGAAACGCATCGAAGGAATGCGGGGATTCCCAGCGAGGCTCGTTCAAAGTGGATAGGTAGAGTAGATGGCATGAAGTAGACGGCATGAAGTAGACTGACTTATCGTTGAGCATTGCGAGACTTCGGAATTGCCTTTGTTCCTTTTTCATTTCATTTGCACCATCCGATTGCTGGCAGTTGCGAGTGAATTCTCTCAACTGTCAACAAAGGTTGGGTCTGCTTTGAACCATTCCAAGTGATTGAAGAACCTTTGAAGCTGGTGTTTGCCTGCCTAGGCCCAACCGCCAAGTGTACAGGGGTCAGAAACGGCAGGCCCGGACACTGCAGAATTGGGAAGCAGTGAGAAAGTACTAACAGATGGTCGCTTGTCATTTGGGGTTCCTCCGTTTCCCAACAAGCACCAGCCACTGCAAGCTTTTGCTTGTATTGTACACTCTATGCTCTAAACCAACTCCCAACCTTTGTCGGGCTGCTCTAGTTAGTGGCTGGCACCCGCAGCATTCTTTGGACAAACGACCAATTGTAGGGTCTTGAGGCGCTTTCGTTGGGTTTTGGAAGTTTCCGACCAACTCATTGTTCAATCCGCTTTTCCATGCGTGGTCAGGCACATGGAAGGTTTGCGACGGAAGAGGTGAGGGGAAGCTTTTCTGCAGAACGGGTAGCTTGCGGAGATTTGGAGACAGCCAAGCTGACAGCATTGGGGGACAAGATTGATTTAAAACTGGATCCATCAACGTCTACTGATTTCGTTGATCTTCGAGTTCGTGGTGCGGGCTGCCAGTGTTGAACCGACCCAATCTCTCTCGCGCTCCGCAGTAACGTCCGTCCGCAGCGGAGCCGGGAACGCCGTGCCCCACACCGGCAGAACGCCACGGTGCGAGGCCAAGAAAGCGGCCGCAAAGCCTGGAGGCCAGCTGGGTGGATCGTCGCCCCCGGATTTCACGGATGCAATGCGAGCCACGAGGGTTGTGGCTCTTGGCAAGCTGACATGCTGACGACCATGCTGAGACACGTAAGATCAGTTAGGCAAGACCATGCCTTTGGTTGGGCCACAAATAGCCTAATCTGATCTAATCTAATGCTTACTGGTCTTTCTTTCAACTTAGGTTCAGAAGGTGTGCAAATGTAGAACCACTTGGACCCCCAACATGTGGTTTGATATTGGTGAGCCGACTGAAGTTTCAGTCCGCCGCTTGAGCCGTTTTACAGCTGGTGGCACGGAGGAGGCGCCCCTAGTGCAAATCTTGAACCCACAAAAAAGTGGTTTCCACCTCAAGCAAGATATTTTGCAGGTTTGGTTTTGGGAGTGGCTTGATTTGAAGGGCTTGGCAGAGCTGCCATGGGCCTAGCAGTCAACATCGGCGCTGGATGCTTACAATTGCAGGCGCTTTGAATAGACTACAGCTTGATGTCCTGGACAAGGGCTTCATGACACTAGCAAACTTTTCTGTGCAGAATCCATTGGCTCAGTTGTCGTACTTTGTGCTCATGAAAGACAGACACCAACCCGCAAGCGGCGAGGCTTTCTGTGACTGCTCTGTGTTCCGGTTTTGGCACAGGCGCGTGCTTGTGCATATCTTTGGGATCAGTCGCCCCATTTACAGCCACTTCTCCTCTCTTTCAGTCCAGTTTTTGCTTCCACCGTCCGCAACGTGTCGACGTCGACGTCGTTTTAAGCGTCCGCATCGGCGACAGACGTCGACAGGCTTCGGCGCCGTGGCACCGCGCCGGGTTCCGCGCCGAAGCGTCGCAGCGGTGGACCTTCGTCCGAAGAGCAGGACGACGGAAGAATGGGTCGAGTGGCGGTGGAGACCAGTTCTGACTGGTTGATATGGGGATGGGTCAAAAGCCGGAGCACCCCTGCTAGGTGGACCTGGAAGAGGACACCCAGGGAAGCGCTGTCGTGGGTCATGGGAAGCGCTCAGGTGAGTCCGCAAGTCTGGGTTGGTCAGCCAAGGTATCTTGGGGGTTTTGACCCACAGCCATATTGCAAAGCCCAAGGGATTTCATTTTGCCTTCGTGACCTTTACGACTCAGCGAACCACATCCCGGTGCTTCCGATTCGTCTAGCTTCAACGCAGGATGTTCAGAAGTTGAAGTTGCCAGTGCTGTTCTTCTCCGGGGAGGAGGCTCTTTGAGTTGCCGGTGATTTTCAGGTGCAAACTCAGTCCGGTTGAAGCTCGGTTCACTCCCAAGTCTGAGCTATGCCGTTTTACAACTGGAATCCTTGTTTTGCAACTATAATCCGTTCGCTCGCGAAGCTCAGCCGTTCGCCCTTCGCACTTGAGTTTCAACGTGCACCGGTGTCTGTCTTCACCGTGTCGACATCCGTACCGACTGGCAGGTGGCCACCTTGGAGGTCTCTTTGGATTGGACGGGCCGAAGGGTGAAGCAGGCGCTGAGGCCCTTCTTGGGCAAAGGCCACACCGTCGCGACCGTGATCCATGAAGGCGAGGAGCGCCAGCTGGGGCCCAGACCCGAGACCAGACAGGGACCCGTTCTCAACATGACACCAACGAGTTTGGTTCGGACTGCGCAATGGGTGCAATCAGTCTGTTGCTATCGTATCTTTTTTCTGTTTTCCAAGCACTGCTACTTCGGGCTGAACCCTGTTATATACGTGAAAGCGGATCGCTGGCTCAGGTGGTGTGCTGTTGGATTCCGAGAGCTTGGAGCGCATCCATCTTGCGAACGATGCCCACCTGTACGTCACCCTGAGACAATGCACCTTTCTGGTGGAAGGCGGGCTCGGGACGGCCCAGGGGTGGGGCCGCCAGGCGCGGCGCCCAAGCGCCCAGGCGGGTGCGGGTTCCGCCGTGGAGTGGGTTCGCCGTGGAGTGCCGTGTGGACGGTGTCGACCATGAGCGCCCTGAACCGGGCTGTGGCACTGTCCGCAAGTCGCGCTAGGATCTTTGAGCGCAAACCGGGTGGCAGCGCCAAGGGCCAAGGGTTTGGGTCTTTCGTTTGAGGATGTTTGAGGGTGGCACACCTCTGGTCAAGTCCGAAATTCGATGTGCTTCGAAGCAGGAGCGGGAGCAGAGGCCGTGAATGGCTTTTACTTGAGAAGGAGAGGCCAGGAGGGTTTAGCTTGAAGAGATGAAGACATGATCAAGTTGGTTTGATTCATTTCTGTGAAGAACAAACTCTGTAGACAGTCCAAGGCATCACTTTTTCCAGCAGTCCAGCCTGGGCATATTCAGGATTGAACGCATGACCTGCAAGGTTATTGCTCAAGTGACAATCAAGTTGAAATGGCGCGACTAGCCCTTGCGCTTGTGGCAATTTTGCCACATGGGCTTCTCAGCTGCCAACACCAACGTAGACCCAAGGATGCTAACCTCGTGCGTTTCTTCTTCCCCCCTGCCAGGTGAGGGTTGTTAGGTTTTAACAGAGCTCTTCTCCTCTTCTCCTCCTCTTCTCCTCTCCTCCTCTCCTCTTCTCGTTGACTACCGCACCTCAACTGCAAATGCCAGATCGCAGTGGGCACGTATACCGGACCTCAACTGCCAGCTCCTGATCGCAGTGGGCACTGCCGGACCTTAACCGCAAGTACCAGATCCCAGTGGGCACTGCCGGACCTCAACCGCAAGCGCGAGATCGCAGCAGGCACTACCGGACCTCAACCGCAAGCGCCAGATCGCAGTAGGCACTACCGGACCTCAACCGCAAGCGCCAGATCGCAGTGGGCACTACCGGACCTCAAATGCAAGTGCGAGATCGCAGTGGGCACTGCCGGACCTCAACGCAGAACGCGCAGCCAGACAAACCACAAACACAATATACTCACTACACAACAAACAAAGCTAACAGACAAGCCACAAGCACAGCTACAGCCACACAAGCACAAGCATAAATACGAGCACAGCCACAAACACATTTACAACCACAACCACAAGCACACAGTCAGAAACACGACTAGAAGCACACAATTCAAGACACACAGCCACAAGCACAATAATCACAAACACACTACCGCTGCGTGAGTCACTGTGTTTGACTGTTCGTGGCCCACCATGACATGCAAACAAATGATTGACATGCCATAGTGGGGATCATTCGATTTAGAGCAATTAGTATTTATGTGCACTCCAAATGTGCGAAGAGTAACATGACTCTATGGGCTCGTTGTAGAACACATGGCTATTGGACTTCCAACAAAGCGTCTATCACCATTGTCGCCTCATACCGTGCCTTCCGGTATGAGGAAGGTTCATTTAAAGTGCTAGTTTGAAAAAACGTAAGGAAGAAAGGGTCACCAAAGTCTCACATTTCCCTGTCATGTCAGTCTCTGGTCTCTCTGTGGCCAGACGTCTTGGAGGTTTTGGGTGGCCATAGTTTGACAATGGCACCGGAAATGGGGCACCAATCCGTGCAGCCAGCATAAGATTTGGCCCGAAGTCTGCAAAACCATCCTGCAACAATGCAGTTGACAAAATGCCAAATGTGGCCTACTCAACAAAAGTGGCAGAATCTCGATGGTGCATCAGTCGCCCCTATGATTGGCTGAAGGTAACGGTTTGCGGCCAAATCTTTTCCTGTGTCAGCTTTGCGCTCACGACCTCTTCCAAGGTTGTCCAATTGCGCTTTCCCCGCTCTGACTCGATTTGTTTTCGTGAGCACGTGATTATATACTCAAGTCAACAAAAGTCTGGCCTGATGGACATGGTTGGAGCATTGGATGGGATGCACATGCAAGTTGCGGTGGCTTTTGCCGTGCACCCCGTACGTCGAATGATTCCTACCTTTGAGGCCATTGAAGCCAGCGAGTATGGTCACGAGGTGTCGCATCCGCCCACCGTCAGACCGACCCAGCAAAACAGGATTGATTGACACATCCGCCCAGATGACCAAGACCCATTTTTCATTGCTCCGCCACCCGTGCTTGGTTTCAAGCGCATAGAATGTGCACAAAAAGCGTATGTATTTCAGGGCATGAAGAGCGTAAGAACCATGAGCGCATGAGGAGACCATGCGGTGCATTCACAAAATTGCAGGCATTCACCGCGGTGAACCTTAGCCTAGCGCAATCTTCACATTGTTTTAATCACCATTTTCTTTTTTCGCTCTCTCGCAACACTGTGAGATTCACCTGGTATCTAAGGCTCCTTTGTTTGGATCCCTTTGCGCTCACCAGCAAGCAAAAGTCCGAGTTGCAGATTGCAGCCACCACTGCAGTCCTACCCAGTGAGAGCACTTGCCCTGGCATGAACGAAGAACCCACCGACACGGAGAAGGACTTCGCCACGAATCCCTATTGGAAGTATTTCACCTACGACACCTTCGATTCGCACTCTTGGGTGACCTTAAATAACTTGGAGGAATGCATGAGAAGAGTGAAAGGAGGCCTGGAGTCTCTTTTTGTGAACGATCGGTCTTGCGTCGCTCCCCCGCACCCGTTCCGTTTCATTCGGATCGATGCAGGTGGCAGCAACGATTGGGTTGGTGCCGACGACCTCTGGGAAGCACACAAGCTGAGTCTTAGCTGCACGACCTCTGGGGTCGTCGAACGATTCCTAGATGATCTGAATTCTGACATCTTCATTTCCATACTTCTCCTTCCGAATTCTGCAAAGAAAAGACAGGTGTCCCTACTTCAATACAGTGGAAAAAAAAGATCTTGAGAACTTGAAACGTACCATAGGAATGTCCATTCTCTACTCGGGCTGGTGACGTCGACAACACGACACAACAGTATATACATGCTTTTGGATTCCCATAATTAGATGGATACAGTAGATGAGGATGGATGAAGATGTGGCTTGATGAGGATGTGGATGGATGAGGATGAGCATGGGCTCATGATTTCTTCGCGTTTGATTGTCGCATCTTTTGGAAAGCGTTGCCTGAAAAAAAGGCATGCCCTTCTCAGTGCTGATGCTGTCATAACTTTCCACGAGCTTGCAAGTTTGGGCACACAAAGCCAGATAAACTCCATAGACAACTACTGTGGTTTCGGAATTCTACTGCAAATGGTTTCGCCTCCTGACCTAGGCTGTGGTTTCACGTCCATTGCCTTGTCCTCATCATTCCCCTCTTTTTTGGCCGTGCAAGTTTGGGGTCACTGCACACTTGGACCCCGCAGTCCCTACGCAGTCCCAGTTATATATATATATACTCCCAGGTTGGCAATCGTATGCAGCCAGCACAGTGCTCGTTCCTCGTTCCTCAGTCCTTCGGCCTCAGGATCTACCAGCAGTTTGGCGATACGGCGAGGCCGACCATGTGGTGGAAACAAGGGTGGATCGAGTATAGCCCTGTGAAGAATAGTGCGACGGTGTTGGGCCTTGCAAAGGAAGCCACGGCTCCAATGAGTAGCATGTCAGAGGAAGCTTGGGAACAGCAGCCATGCAACGCCTTCTCGAACGCTGCCTTCTTTGAAGTGTCTTTGGCTGCGTGCCAAGCAGAGGACGAAGGGAACTTCGTCGACTATTCGGGCACTTGGTCTTGGCGGGACGAGGTGATCGCTGCCGGGGCGTTGATGGCATATGGGTCCTTTGCCATGCACGGAAACCCCTCCAGCGGCCAGTATCATGAAGGAATTATCTCAGACGACCCGAATGCAAGTACAGACATGGGGTATGACACTGCCATGTTTGACCGAGTCTCCATGGATGTGTTGTTTTTCGTCTTTTACCACTCCATCGTGAGAGCTATGGCAATCGACCCCACGGACGAGGCGTCATTGAAGCCAATCCTTGGCTTGATCAAGAATGAGCAGTTAGCACCCTTGGGATGCGACAACATGTACTGTGACAGCCGTTTGATCGTCAGGGAATACCAGCGGATTCTCACTGGCCCTACGGAAAATTGGCATGTCATTCACGACATGCGAAACATGGTTCCTGACTACAAGACTGCATCAGTTGGGCTTGTCCTCGTGTCCATCCGTGCAATCTTGAGCGACGAGCTGTTTGGGTCTTCATCTATGAATGCGTACTCACAGATTTGTGGCATTCTGATCGGGTCGTTGTTGCCAGGTGACGGAACAAGTGTCATTCAGTACTTTTGTAACCCAGGCTCTGAGTGGTACAATGCCATGTTGACGGCCAAGCTTCGAATTGCGAAGGATATCGCGAAGAGTCTTGCCACTCTCGTGACGATCTTGGAGTCTTTGATTGAAGGTATGTATTGGCAAGAGTCCCTTGTAGGCCCATCCGATTACTTGCAGCCGTTTTTGAAGAAAAATGTGGTGAACGTGACGGGTTGCTGGCGCCAGACGCATGGAAACTGGCACCGTGTTGCTGCACAAATGATGAAGGAGCTCATGCAGTTCATTACGACTGACGTGTACACAACCACGTTGACAAGTCTATCCCAAGAGCAAAAGCAGCAGGCTTGGGGAAGTTTGAATTTGGTGGCTTGGCTGAATCTTTACAGTAAGTCTTTAAGGGGTGCTGTTTTTTGGATACCATTTTTTGCGATTCAGTCACCAGAGCTTGGGGGTTCCTTCGAGGTGGTGGCTGAGTTCCTTGTCTTTGTGAATGCCCTGAAGATCATGTCGGCGGCTGACACAGCAACTTGGTAGAACTTCCCTGAATAGGAACAAAGAACCAACCATCGAAACACACACGATATCTCTATATATATCTCTATATATATACACATGTCACATGTATGTACTGTACTATACATATTATACATAATATTGTACAATATATAGATAATATATCACATACAAGACATACCATATAATACAATATAGTACACACATGGTTTTCGGGTGTTTTTCTGCTTTTTTCCGGTCAGGTGAACTTATGCCGAGTCTTCAAGTTGGCCAAAGAGGTGGGCATGTCTGGGGAGCCCTTGAACTATCAAATCATGCCGATGCTGGATGCTGCAGGCCGGAGAGTTTCCGGTCGCTCAGTGACTGGCTTCCATGATGGTTTCAGGGAGGGTATGGAAACCTCAAATCTTGAACCATCCATGCAGTTCTTTTCTTGCAATTTTGCCGTGCAGGAGTCAATTCGATGCTGACGAAGACCCTTCAAGCCCAGGATCCTGTCACGAACATCGACCTGGGTGTGAACTTGCGAGTGGCAACCAAGCCTTGCAACTACGATCTGAAGGAGGTCTTTGTTGATGAGGTGACCGGTCTTTCAGCCTTTACTTTGGAGGATTTGGACGTGTCCGGGCAGTATGTGGACTCCAGCTCCTTTGAGGACACGGCCGTGAAGTTTCGCCTGGCCGTTCGGACATGTCCCTTGAGTCTCGTGGTGAAAGCATCTGCAAACTTTGTGCAAGATGGAGGCTCAAACAAGTTCACCAACGTTGCTTGTCGACGCGTCCAATGGAGAGTGAATGCTGAAGTCCATCTCACCTTCCAGATCAGCGAGCTCATAGCCTTTGCCCAAGCTGGTTTCCAGAAGATCTTCGCCGGCGCTTCGGATGCTTTGAGTGGTGGCGTTGAAAGCTTCCTACTGGACATTCAGCATCTAGAGCTCGCAAGATTTGAAATCACCAACTTTCCGGGGGAGGCCAACATCAAGAATCTGGTGAACAAAGCACTGGAGGGGACCTTGAGAGAGAAGCTCAGTGAACTTGTGCAGGGGAAGGTGGAACTGGCCATGAATGAGGCCATTCAAGGAGCCATGGCACAGGCCGGTTCCAAGATCCCCTTCGGCTCGGAGAGACGTTTGGGCACCTGCCCGGCCAACGCGGGCTCAGTGGCGGTGGACTCGGCGCGAGGCTGCTGGGGGAGTTGGTCTCTGATTGGTTTGCTCTCTTTGACCAGGTTCTGGTTCTTTTGACGTGTTTTTGCCATGTCTTGGCAGGCCCCTTGAAGGGGGGCTGGCTAGGGTGAGCTGCTGATCTCTGCCATTTTTCCACGCTGGCAGAGGTTCCGCGAATCAGTGATGACTGGAGCTTGGCATCTGCAGGTTTTTGGACCTTTAGGTAGCCAGTGCTTTCTTTTATCGCCCCTGCATCGTTTTGCATCTGAGAGCCACGAAGCTCTTCAGGTTAACGTAGGCTTTATTGTAACCGGCGAGCTGGCGAAGAGCCAATCCGGTCAGAGACATGCTGGCAGAAGAAAGCAGAGCTCATGTCCACTGAGTCACTGCTGGGTTCATCTCCAATTTTTTGGGAGGAGATTCCCTCCCCCGACATCAAAGACTTCGTTTTGACCTGCCAGGGAGCGATCTTTGCAATGCGCCCGTGTATGTGAATGAGCATGGCACCCTTCTCTTCAAGTATCGCATGGCACCTTGGAAGTTCATATAATTAGACACCTCAAAATGACTGGCCTTGTAGGCCTCGAAACTCTCGGAGCTCTGACGTGAAGCAGATCCATTCGAAGGAACGGTTCCAAAGAAAGCCTGGCATTTGGGGGCACTAAGCAGTACATTGATCAACATGGATCTCCGAAAATCTGCTGTCTACAATGTCTACAGTGCTTTGAGTGTTTGTCCAGACGGTATATGTGTATTTATTTGTGTTTTCCTTCCTTGTCTATCTAACTATCCCTGAGTAGTTTCTATTGTAAATCAGATACGTTCTTTCTTTCCCAGAAGAGTCGGATTAGTCCATCTTGGTCACCTGTGGTGAACCATCTTCACTGGTGTGGTGGACCACGTTCTGAGGCACGTGGCACTGCCTATTGGCACCTTGGACCGGTGCTCGAATCCCAAGGAGTCAGAGATCCACTGCCGAAAGTGATTTATTAAAGTTAGATCCAACCTAAGAGCGATGGCCTCCAACCTACTAGTGATGGCCTAGTATGCCTAGTACGCCTAGATAGTAGACTATTTAGATAGGTGATAGCTCTGGCTTTGGTCTATATAAGTGCAAAGATTCCAATCCCGCAGCCCAATTCCGAGGCCTCTTGTTCTCTTCTCTTCCGCCTCGTGTTCTCTGTGTCGTTCTCCAGCCGCCTCGCCTCGCGGTGACCGCCGTAAGGTATTTCTCCCGCGAGGGTGACCTGAGTCGTTCCGATGGAGACTTCTACCGCGTGAAGAGCGATGCGCCGAAGCCGCCCTTGGAGGACTGGACGTGCGAGGCCTGTCCTTTGGGCCGCCGCACCCAGGCGTGGACGGTCCCGGCGGTGCCGTCCGGGGAAGACGTGGGGAGACTCTGGAGTCTCCACCGGTGGTTCAAGACACTTCGAAGAAAACATATGAAAGCCATGAAAAAATTTGGGAAGCCTGAAGCTTGTACGAGATCACAAAACAAAGCTTTCCAATAGACCAAGTCAGAAGTGAGAGCCTTCGGACGACGGGACACAGCTAGGCACAGCAGGGCACGGCAGAAGGCCGACGGTGCAGGTTCCGCGAGTGATGCCGCGGTGCAGGTTCCAAGCCTCACCTTCTGCGGAGAAGAAGACGAGGAGAGTCGAAGAGCAACGCGGTTCCTAGCTCGCCTGTGAGTTGCTGAGTTACAAGTATTACAGTTAACTGGATTTAAGTATTCTGATGAGACTGTGAGACCATGATTCTACTAAACAGCCCAAAAAGCGCTCAGCGGCTGAAGAAGGTCATGATTCCAAGCGGGTTACGGTTACGTTCACATTTTCTCATCTGCGGGCGCAAAGGTTGGCACAAACAGGCCCCCATGTTGTCAGTGTTGAGAAGCTTTCAAGAATCGTCCCAGCTTCGGCTTCGGCGCAGATCTTGCAGATCTTGGGATCAACCACAGCAAGCTTGGCATCGATGTGCCAGCTGTGACTGGAACCCGAAAATTCGATTCCTTCCCGTTCTCCCAGCCTCTCAGCTTCCTGGAACCACTCGCGCCGGGGTTCGCGGAAGGAGTCCACCGATGCTGGGACATCCGATGGCGGCGACGGAGCGAGGAGTGCCTTGGCTCCAGACGGATTTCGGAGACATCCAGGAACACACCCGCATTCAGAGCGATGGGTGTGAGTCACAACCTGAAGCACGTATGTTGCTTGACACCCCCATTTTTTTTTTGGTGGGTGAGCTGTGTTCGGGTACACTGTCTCTTCAAGTCCATGGGAGGCCGTCTTTGAGTCTCGTTGCTCATATGCTCTATGCATGTGCAAGACAACGAAACAGAGGATTTGCAGACCTGTTTGCTCATGTAGGAACCTGGGGAGGGAGCGGAGGAGGGGGAGGGAGGGCAGGGAGGGCTGGGAGGGCAGGGAGGGCAGGGAGGGCAGATGGAATTGAACACTGTCATTCTCTAGGCCTTAAATGGGCCATTGCTTGACCAAGGTGAAAGCTGATTCTCAGTCCCTTTGATTCAGCGACCTAGGCCTTGGGGTCGTCGAAGAGATCACGATATCTATCTATCTATCTACCTAGCTTAGCTATCTATCTATCTATCTATCTATCTATCTATCTATCTATCTATCTATCT